CATTTTTTGAGGCTGTCACGCTCAAAAGTCCCGAGAACAAGAAACTATTGAGATTTTTTCCCTTGCATTTGAAGAAGGGAGGTGGTGGCAATGCTTCTCTCTGGGGGTCTTAGGTGAAACATACAATTTCCACTGGGCTTAAGAAGCCTGTCTTGGCAGCCTGGCTGGGCTGCCTCAGTGCCCCACCTGTCCAGAGCCATCCTGGTCACCTGCATGTGCAGGGACTGAGGGAGACAGCTGTGAGTGTGTGGCAGCCATGGGCATTTGCTTGGTGGATATTTCCTGGCTCCAGCTGTGCTGTGTTTGGGCCAGGGAGCGTGATGGGAGATGAGGAGGTTGCGTGTCCGTGGACGATCACCGCCGTTAGACTGATGAAAAGAACGTGACTGCAAGCCTTGGTGTGTGTCCCCAGCCGGGGACGCTCTCCATCAAAGTGCATGTGGGCATGAGTTTCATGGTGCTCTGATGCCCCAGCACGGTTGGAGGGCAAGGAGGAAGCTCGCCCGGGTCCCCTCAGGGCTGCCGGGTGATGAGGCAGAGCCACTCATGCACCGTGGGGTCAGGGCTCTGGAAGTGTTTTCCAAACAGAATAACCATGGCAGCTTCTTGTACCCCAAAGGCCTGAGAGTAAAGGTCTTCATTACAGGCCTTGAGCTTGGAGGAAGGAGATTCAGGATGAGAAAGACGCGTGGCACTACCTGTCTACACACCTCTACTGCCTTCCCAGCGTAGGGACTGCTATTGATAAGAAATGCCTGGTTAACTCCGACGGCCCAGCTAGTCAGGACCCCCTTCTTTGTTGTATTTAGTGATTGTGTCCCTGGCCAGTCCCCTTTAGAATTCATGGCTTTGGGAATAATAAATAAATAAAAAGAAACTTGGCGGCTTCATCCCGAAAGTACAGATGGGTCACCCTGGCTGTCCAGAGCCTGTCTGCATTTCTCTGTGGGTTATTTGCGGGAGGAGCATGACTGGTCTGTCTTGCATTATTTATTATGGTTTTTTGGTCATTTAACTTTGAGATGCAAACATAAAATCTGTAAAACTAAAAGATATCCCTTTCTAAAATAATCGAATTGCGAGCTAGGAAATACCACTTTCCGCAGTAAAGCACGAACCTGCCTGTAGCGTTAGAGAAGGTAGCTGTGCTGAAAGCTGGAAGAGAAACGGGAGGACAGCCTGGGGCGCGGGGCCTCCCCGGTCTCCCCACGGTTGCTGTTGCCCTCCAGCCAGAGAGGCTGGGAAAGGTGAAAAGCAGACAGGTTTGCAGTTCAGGGAACAACCTGGGCTTTGTGTGCTGTTTTCAATAAGAGCAGAGGACGCTGCAAAGTCCTCATTAGGAAGAAAACGTTAAGAGCCGGCCGAAGTCTGCCCTGGCTGTGGGTGTGGGCGCGCTGCTCAGGGAATTTTGGAAGCTGCGGATGGTCTCCCGGCAAAGTTGGAGGCACATAGTGTACTGGTTGGACCTGAGCCTGGGCCTGGCTCAGGAGGTGTTGGTTTGTGCCGCCCGGAGTCTGAGCCAGGTCGTCCACTTTCCAGCGAAGGCCTCCAGCTGTGGTTGGATTAATGAGGACCGGAGAACAGCAGGACCATTCTACATGTCCTGTCAACACTGTTGTCACTTCTGTTGTTCCAAAACACTTGCCCCAGGTTAGGTATAAACTAAGGTCAAACAGTTTCGAAGTATTTTAGTGCTTTTAAATACAAACATGAGAAGGGATTCATTCAGTAAGACACCAGGTTAGGTTGAGATAAAAAAGGAGTTGCAACAGGAAGATCCTCTGGGTGGGGCTCGCAGGGCCCGTGTACCAGTGGCCACGCCATTGAGAGGCCCCGGAGATGGCTTCCCTTCTGAGTGAGATGAACCCAGGGGCTGGGAGGGAGGGAGCAACGAGGCTGTCTTCCCCAGGGCTTGCTCAGACCGCCAAAGGCCATCATTTCATTAAAGGAAAACAACGCCAGGCGGAGCTGGCTTACGCCTGTAATCCCAGCACTTTGGCACGCAAAGGCAGGCAGATTGCTTGAGCCTAGGAGTTGCAGACCAGCCTGGCCAACATGGTGAACCCCCATCTCTACAAAAAATACAAAAATTAGCCGGGCATGGTGGCAGGTGCCTGTAGTCCCAGCTACTTGGGAGGCTAAGGCAGGAGGACCCTGTGGGCCTGGGAGGTAGACGCTGCAGTGAGCTGTGATCGCACCCCTGCACTCCAGCCTGGGCAACAGAGTGAGACCCCATAGAAAAAGGGTAAGGGGGAGAGGTTGGGAGAGGGGGAGGGAAAGGGACCAAAAAGCTGGTGCTGTCAAAGTTGACTTTGTGATCCACAAATGTGCTCTCACCCTGCGTGTGGGAAGCTGCCCTGGACATGGGCTCTGCAGCAGTGGCAGGGTGAACGCTTACGAAAGTCTCTGTGCCTTCGAGGTAACAGTTCCAAACAGGGGCATTCTCAGTAGAGATTCGAGGAAAGCAGGAGGAGGGAGGAGCTGAGTCCCAGCCCCTTACTGAAGGCACAGATACAATGAGGGCAGGTGCCTCCTGGCCAACGAGTCAGGGAGCCGGGACCCTCTCTGTGCTCACTGCTCTTCCGGGTCTCTCCTCCTGCTCCTCTCTGCACTCTGCACCCCTCCCTGCGCCTCCCTGGCCTTGCACGGCTTGGGCAGCTTCTACGTGCAAGGGAGAAGCTCTGCTTGTAGTTACATCCAAGCACTTGCCGCCATGCACACTTACAGCTGGGCCTGCATTTTCTAGTCACAAATAAAGAAATTGCCTATGTCCCTCTAACTCCTACACCCACTTTTTTCTCTGTCTATTCTATAAACGACTGAAAGACAGTCTGGGTATATTCATGATTTGTCTATTTCTCCTTTTTGTAAATTTTAGTTTCATGTATTTTAAAGCTCTGGTTATTAGGGGTGTATCACTTGGGCGATTCTCATGTCCCAAGAAGCCGGCCTTTTTACCATGATCACATCCCTCTTTATGGCCTGAAGTCTATGTTGTCTGATATTAATATAATTATGTCTCCTTTCTTTTACATATTGCTTATATGTAAAATTCTTTTGCACCCATTTATTTTCAACCCAGTGTCTTTATACTTCACACGCCTTCTTTTGAAGAATGCAAGTCTTGTTATATTAGCCAGAAATTACAGAAAATATTAAATCATAATGGGTTACAGGAAGCAATTGTCCTTTACCTCTGATTATCACAGGACTGCCTTCAGCGTTTCAGGTTTACCACTCATTCTTAGATTCTTCAAACATTTTCTCAGCGTATTCCAACTGGTAGGTTCTGTGCAAGGTGCCAGGGATAGGGAAGAGGACATAGTATCTGACCTCCAAGAACTTAGAATTAATTGATTTTGACTTTGACGAGTTAGGCACACTGTACAATGTCCAATGACTAATCCAGCTATTTTGTCACCAAGCCTTAGGAGGCCAGCCTTCCTACTTATTTTAGATTCGTTATTAGGATTTGGTAACCTATTTCACCTACTGCTTTTTTTGAGATAATCATGAAGTTCGCCCCCATATTATGTTCATTTTGACATCAAACTTAGTTGCTCAGCATGAATTGTTATAATTGTGGATTTCTGTGAATACTCCCCATCCTAAGAGCAGCTGTCAATGCCCTTTACAACATTTATTTCTCTCAACTGACTGTGGGATGCATATTCCTGAAGCCAGCGCCAAGGTCATTCCGTTTCCCAAGAGCGAGCATCTACTCTCCAGAGGAGAAAGACGTCCTCTGAAAGAAGGTAGGTGTGTGCGCAGGATCGTCTGGAAGCTGGGCATCTGGAACTCTCAGATACACATGTAAATACGCGTCTGCTCCTTGCACTTGGTGCTCACAACCATTCCCTTAATTCAGGGAGCACTGCCACCTTCCCAAGGAGATTCTTTTCCTATGTGTTGTCCCAAGAACAGAGGAGGTGGCATCGGGCTGGGCAGGGTGGGGATGGCTGTCACCTTCAGTCCGAGATCGCTGGCTGCTGAAGCCCCCACCGCCGCTTTGTCTGCCCCATTTAACAGGGCACAGAGATTCCTCTGACGCCCACTCATGCCGCATCTCAGGTGTTCTGAGGGAAGTGGATTTCTCTCCCAGCTCCAGCTGGGAGTCCCAGTCAGGACGTTCCCCTCCATTTGCCAGTGAACGGTTCTGAGGATGTTGTGCAAGCTCTGCAGGGTGAGGCTGAGGAAACCGGGACTCTGGAATGTGGATGGAGGGGCCCTCTGTCTCTTCTGAACAGTGACGCAGGGATCAGTCCTGAGGGTGACTCCGGCCAAGCATCCCCAAGAACAGAGGCAGCCCCAGGACAAAGCCTGAAAGCCAGCCCCTGAAAGCCAAGGGAGGGATAAGGGAGAAAAGGTCTGAGTTGCTGAGTCCAGGCACCCTCTCTTGGGACCTGCACTGAGCCTGTGCCTGCTTTTCTGCTGGACTGGAATGAGATGCATTTTCTGTGACTTGCAATGGCCCACACTCCTTGTGGAATGAGCCATTCTTTCCTGATATGCTGTGCTTAGGAATTTCTTTGTCCTCAGATCCTATGCCCTCTCTGCATTGCTGTCCTTGAAGACAGGCACCCAAACAGGCCCTAGGTCGCTCCCATACAGCAGGAAGCACACCCTTCACAGCCCCAGTGCTGAGCAGAGCCAGCAACTAACAACTGTTTGACAAGTAGAAAGGAGGACTCAGAAGAGGACATGCCACAGCATTGCCTGGGATTGTTATCATTTCCTCCCCTTCCTTCTCTAGTTTTAGAGGGACAGAACTAACGGCTCATTAGAAAAATGCCTGAAGTCGGCCGAGCTCCTTGGCACACGGTGCTGATGGCCTGGTGCAGGGTGCCGCGGTGGCCGCTGTGCAGCAGCCTTGGTGTGTGCCAGGCAGCTGTTTTCTTCATCGCCTCTAAAAGGACTTGCCTTACGGAAGTGCCCTCAGATCATACTCTGTGAGGTCAGCTATTAATCATTTCATACACCAGTGGTAACTGGACACACTCTCTTTGCAAAGTGAAGGTTGTTTATTGCTTGTTATGATTTAACAGGCAAAATACTACACCAGGCTGTAACACCTAAGTGGTCTTCGTGAAATGCCTGCCCGGAACGGAATGCTGGGATGCACGCAACCATGAATGTTTCCTGAGGTCTCCTTTCCCTCACCTGGATAACTCAGAGCCCGGCCCTCCTGTGTCGGTGGGACTGGAAGCCCGTGGGGGACTCTGCGTCTGGGGGCCACGTGCTGTGCCCTCTGCCATCTCTGCTCACTGCTCCCCCGTGTTCGCACCTGCCTGCATTCACTGAGTGGTCACACGTTTGTACCCAGGGAAAGCAGGGCCATGCACGTTGAAGAAAACAAATCACACTGCTTGTTCTTAAAAATGAGATGAAAAAATAAATCTAAACACACTTTTCAACTGTCACTCTTCTTTAAACTTTTATATATGTTAAAGCTCTTCTTTTTCTTTTCAATATACTCTACTCAGAACTTTAAAAAATAAACTTTCTTTTTTGGTACCTCTTGTTTCCTGTATTAGCCTGGGAAACATTTAGCAATACATCTCCCTAGAATTCTTCTGTGCAAATAATAAACATAAATAATATTAACATTTATTTATATATATTAAAAAAGGCCATTTCAAGGTTTTCACTGCGACCGCCTTGAAGATGCTCCTATAAGTAGTCTGTGGTCCGGCCCCTGAAGTCCTGATCGGCCTGAGTGGGGCTGGACAGCAAGTCCACGTCCCGTTTGTCCATCGGCAAGCTGCTCCGTCCGGGCGAACTGTAGGACGCTCCCCAGCCTGCTGACCAGTGACCAGGAGGAAATCCAGTTGAGTAAGCTGAAGGTGGGCAGGCTGAAGAGGGAAGACAGCGGGGTCACCCTGCTGGTGCTGGCAGCTCTCACCTTGGACTCCTCAGGACACCCTCCCGGGACAGCATCCCCTGGCGTGGAGGACCTGGGCGCCGGTGCACTCAGCCTTTCCAGCAGGGTGTGCTCCCTCAATGCCATGCTCATGTCCATTGTGCTGGGCTCCCCGCTGGCCTCTGGGGAGCAGACTGGCTGCTGTGTGTGCCAAGAAGGCTGGGACAGGGGCACAGAGACGGTCCTCCCTGCTGAGTGCTCGGTTCCTGAGTCCTTCGGGAGGCATCCCTGAGCAAAGGTCTCTTTGGGAGTCCTGTGTCTCCTGGGGGACTTCCTGGCCAATTGACGTGCTAGCTGAAGTTGGGTGGGGAAAACGCTCCCCTGAAGGGATCTGAAAAACAATCTAGAAAGAGCACATTAAAACAAAAGGTTAGGTATTGCTGTGGGTGGTGTCTTTGAGCTTCCAGAGACCCTCACAGGGCAGAAGCAATGCCAATGCTGTCTGGGCTCACTCGGGGCTCAGCGGCACCATCCCACTCCGACACCCACCTGGGCAGCAGTGCAGCGACAGGTGTCATCAGGCAAGTCAAGTAAAACACTGGGTCACCCAGTAAGGCTTGCATAGTCCAGTAAGGGTTGGACGGAGGATAGCACGTGGCACAAGACGCGTTGTAAATCAAAGCCACGGTGAAAAACAAAAGGACACTGAAGCCACACGTTATCCAGTTGAGCCAGGTCTGAGGGGGAATGAGAAAGAAAGGGTTTTTATTTCCACCTGAAACTGACAACAATGACAATTACAAAAATGCGCCAGTCATCAATGAGCAGGTGTGAGGTTCTGAGGCCTTCGGACACACTGCGGTCTATGACACGGGTCACCGGTGGGGCTCAGTGAGGCCTCCGGAACCCGTGGACCACCCTGGGAGATGCACAGGAGGTGAGATGGAGTCAGGGGCGAGAGGGCAAGACAGGAGGGAAAGGAGAGAATGTGGTGGTGGAGGAGGGAAAGAGGCGGGAGGGAGATGAGCATGGCTGGGGACGTGCGAGCATTGGGCTGCACCAGCTCCCCACACCACAGGGCTCGGGAACGTGTCACTGTCCTTCTCATCACACTGAGGTCAGCTCTGCAGTCTCCTGTCTACTCACATCGACCTCACGAATCTGCAGGGAAGTGTAGGGTCCACGGCATCAGTGCCCTTCTGAGACGTGGCCACGCAGGCGGCGCTTACCCAGGTTTTGGTCTCAATGCCGAGGTGCAGCAGGAAGGTGAGCAGTGCGATCGTCACGATAGGGGTCCCCCAGGTGAACAGGTCCACGTTCGAGTCATAGTAGGCCTGAAAGACAGCGGGGTCCTGGATCTGTAGGTCCCTGGAGGCAGCTGGTAAGAAAAACTGCGCCCGGGGGCCAACTTACCAGGTAAGGAATGGAAAAGCAAACCAGGCTCTGGAAGGTGGCGTCAGCCATGTTAAACCAGAACGTTCGCGGCCGGTATTCCTGGGACACAAAAACAATCAGTGATGTTACAGTGAAGTGCTGGCATCCTCTGTGAAAGCAGTTAGAATAAAAGTGGAGTCACTTGTGTTAAAAACAACAACAATAACAACAACAAAAACCAGCCCTGAGGAAGAGAGCTGGGAAAGGCCATGAAGGGAGGCTTCTTATGCATAAATGTCTGACAACAAAAATGATCAGATCCACAAAAAATATGTCTGTAAGGACATGTGCCCAGCAACCGTCTGTCCAACCTCAGACAGGCATCATTTTTGTTGTTTATCCTTGTAGCCAAGGAAAGAGCATCTCAAAACAATCATGAAGTTTTTTTCCTTTAAATACATATGTCTTCCTTTACCTCCCTAAATATGCACATAGTTTACTGCAGCACACATATTCCCATTGCAATGCCCTATTCCCGAATACACACCATTCTCTTCTAGAGAGCCTCTCTCTGTTTGCTGTTTAGGTTGACACCTCGAATGACATTTCCTAGGATGCTACACATAAGCGAATGCACAAGGCAAGCACCCGGGGAAAGCTCACTCTCTCAGGACTTCTGGAGATGGGAGGCCCCAGAGGCCTGGCGAAAAGCACCAGCAAACACCTACAAAACTATCTGCAGCCGAGTCACTGGGAACGCGTGCACCAACAAGACGGGCTTCAGTGGCTCCAGGTTCACAGTAAAAAGATGAAACTGGCCGGGCGCGGTGGCTCACGCCTGTAATCCCAGCACTTTGGGAGGCCGAGGTGGGCAGATCACAAGGTCAGGAGATGGAGACTATCCTGGCTAACATGGTGAAACCCCGTCTCTACTAAAAATACAAAAAAATTAGCTGGGCGTGGTGGTGGGCGCCTGTAGTCCCAGCTACTCGGGAGGCTGAGGCAGGAGAATCGCTCGAACCCAGGAGGTAGAGCTTGCAGTGAGCCGAGATCGCACCATTGCACTCCAGCCTGGGTGACAGAGCGAGACCCTGTCTCATAAAAAAAAAAAAAAAAAAGATGAAACTGCTTTCTATATCTTCCCAGGGAACACGTCTCTCGAGTAGGAATAGCACCTGAAATTCCAGGCATTCTCCCCCAGTTTGAGCCCTTGCATTCCTTCCACTTTGACCAGGTTTTGCCTCTCTTGGTGGCGGGTCCCTTAGAATGTTTCTTAAGAGTGATTTTAAAATCACACAATGGACGTGTCCCAATGTTAAAAGCAAAAAACTATATGCCCATGGGCAGAAATGAAAATAACCTTGATATAAATGAACAGTCTCTATTACCCGGGTGACCAACTGTGTATTTGACCCTGCCAAGTCCGAGAGCAGCTGGCACGGGACCTGCAGGACACAGACTGGGGAAGGAGCTCTGGCTGAGCACTCAGGGAAAGTGCTGGCTGGGCTCTCGTGGGCCACCTAATTCCACAGGACAGGACACACTCCCAGCGTCTTTGTTCTGCAGGTGACCGTGGAGGCTGAGGCCTGGCCAAGGATGGGAATTCCCCTGAAGCAACAGGTAACAAGCAGAGGCCCCGCTCCCCTCCCTGGCCCTCCGCCTCCCGGCACCCCGTGCATGCAGCCTGCTTCTGTGGGAACTGAATGTTCACAGAGGTGGCCAAGGGAAGTTAACTCACCAGTGAATGAGTCTGGAATTAGGGATTATTGCGGGAGAAATGAGACTCCATGTTCTTTTTACCCACATGGAATAATTCAAGGCAAAGAAAAGCCCTTACTGTTTACTTTAATGGCTGGCTAGAAACAGCTGGTCATCAGTGTGTGAATCTACGTGGTATATTAATGTCAATATGTATTTAAATCTAGTTGCTCTTTCAGTGGCTCAGTGGCTTCCCTGTGGGTTTGTCTTCTTGTTAATTCCAATCAAAGTAAGTCACATTTTCTTCCTTGCTTTAGAAACATCCCCCCTCCAGCCTCAATGATCCCCTGTGACTGACTTGAACTCTGGGCTTTCCCTGGACTCCTGGAGACTCTTGGAGCGGGGACAGTTTTGCTTACGACACTCAATGCACCGCAGCCAAGCAGAGAGCAGCCCTTTTTCTCCTTCCTCTAGCATGGTGAGTTCTAGAATTTCTGTTTGTCCAGGGTGTCCATCTCCCCCAGGGAGGCTGGGGGACTGGCGCTTTGGAAGAGTGAACGTGGGGGGCAGAGCTCAGGAGGCGGAAGGCGGAAACTCCGGGGAACTTTACCTCCATGTTCTGGCCACTCTTGTAGAGCTGTGGGTTGGTCTGCAGCACGTTGGCCGGCACATCCCTGTCCAGCACCCCAGTCACGAGTGGGGGAAGCGACGAGAAGAGCAGGTTAAAGAAGATTAGATACCACTGGTCAATCATGGCAGATGCAGAGAAGCCACAGAAAAACTGGAACCAAAACAGGAGGCCCACGAACATCTGAAATCGAGAAAGGACGAAGAGGAACAGGCGAGTCTTCAGTCATTGCTGAGGATTCTCATCGAGGGAGCTGACAGGCCTGTAGTGTTTCACAGTCAAGATTAACTGTATTGGCAGCAATTCTTCCAAAGACAGCTGCGACCCTGAGTCCTGCTGCCGGCCTCCGCCTCTCCCTCTTCCTCCTTCCCTTCACCCTCCTCACTCCCTTAAGAAAGAAGAACTGGCAGTGGGAATTGGGAGTTTCCGGGAGCAGCCCTTGCGGGGATGAGGTTTTGTGTTTGACAATCTCTAGATCATTAACATAAAACAAAATCAAGGTTTCACAGGGCTCTAGGGCTGCTCACATTTCAAGAGGGCCAGTTGGGTATGAGCTGTGGCTTCTTCCCTAGCGGCCCTCCTCTGTCTGTGACCCCAGACAAAGCCTACCTGTGGCTATATCTCTGCTCCTGTCTCCTCTTTAGTGACCTGCATACTCTCTGAGGAGGTGCAGTGGGCAGTGACTGACTCCCACTGAGGGGAGGACACACAAAAGCACAATAGCAAAGCCAACGACCTCATCAACGTCGCTGCGGTGACCTGATTGTCCACGGGGACCTCTGCTGGGGGGAGAGGGAGAGGTATCATCTCTGATCCTCATAGCTACAGCTACCCGGCTCAGCAGAACAGGAAAGTGAGATTCAGGGAGGTGGAACAGCCACCTTCGGCCCCTGCTCAGTGGGGTGGGAAGAAGGTCAGATCTCTTCTCACTATTGCTAGATCCCTGAATATCAGCGGCCTGAGTGCATTTATACGGTGGGCATGACAGTTCAGTGACTGCAAAGCATTCTAACACTCATGAGCTACGCAGCTGGGCACAGAGCATGAACCCCTCATTCTCGCTGTCCTTGCTTATGGCATGGACATACCAATGACACTCGGCCAATGCAGCTGCTGTCAGCATTAAGAGACCCAATGCATTTCGAGCACTCACCAGAGTTCCTGGCGAGCTATCGGTGTGCGCCTACAGTGTGTGGTGGTGAGTGGCATCGTTAGTTCCCTTGCTCGGGGCCCAGGCAGGGCGAGTGCTCTCACCCCACATACAGAGAGGGAATTTGAAGTTCCAAGACATCAAATGACTTGGCTGAGGTCACGGTGTGAGTAAGAAGCCCAACTTGTTCAACTGCGATGGGTCTTGGCCTGGAGGGCAGGTGCAGTCCCAGCAGGGAGCTCTGACGCTGGACGGACGTTCTCTGCTGGGCACCGCAAAGCTTGCGCTTGGTGCTGGAGCTGCAACTATCTACCCTTTTGACCCTGACTCAGTCACTTCACCTCCCTGAGTTTTTGGTTTCTTGACTTGAAAGTGACTTGTGAAGATCATAAGAAACAACAGTTTATGTTGAAATAACCCACCATGCCACATAGCCTCCAAGTCCTGTGTCAGACAATGATTTAAATGTCTTAATCTGCAGCCTTTCCCCTACACACTGAAAACTAACATTTGGCTTTTATTCATTGACTTTCTTCCCTTCCTCACTCCTACGGCTGGCTCTCGCTCACTCACCCCCACAGGCTTGGCCTAGTGAGTCATCGGTAGCAAATGCAGTCAAGAGAAAGAGAAGTACTCAGATAATTGAGATTTTTTTCCTATAGTACCAAAAAGCTTTCTTCCCAAACCACTGTTGCTATGGAAACTTTTCTTCTCCGCTTTTTATCGGAAAGAAAGGCCAACTTCTTCCTAAAACTAATGAATTTCTCATTTCAGGAGGCAGAGTGATTATCCTTGAAGTCCTCGTGTAGATTAACGCTTGTTAACAAAGGTCTGGCGTTTTTATGGAATAAAAACAGGCCCCCTCTTCTCCTCTCTGCAGCCTTCAATGGGGAGGGACTCATCGCAGGAAGCAGGAGGCTGTGCCCATTCTAGGTGGCCACTGGGGGCTTTGTTTGCATCTGAAATGTCTAATGCTTTGGCCTACATCATTCTTGCCCTCCCTTCGATCTGAGCCATTTTAACTGGGAATTAGGGATCGGCTGGCTCAACCCACAGGCTTCGTTTTGTTTTCTAAGATTTAAAAGAAGACTGGACATGGTGGTTCATGCCCACAATTCCACACTTGGGGAGGCAGAGATGGGACGATAGCTGAGACCAGCAGTCTGACACCAGCCTGGGCAACATAGCAACACCCTGTCTCTACAAACTAGAAAAAAACAGCTAGGCATGGTGGCCTATAGTCCCAGCTACTCAGAAGGCTGAGGCAGGGAGATTGCTTGAGCCTGGGAGTTTGAGGATACAGTAAGCTATAGTGGCACCACGCACTCCAGTCTGGGCAACAGAATCAGATCCTGTCTTTAAGAAAAAAAAATCCAAAGAAGAAATTAACTTGCTCAAGATCTCACAGCTAATAAGTGATAGAAATGGCGCTTGGATTCTGCCCTGCCCACCCCCATTCATCCCTCCACTTCTTTGGGAGCTGAGAACCTCTAGGCTTACAACTGTGTACTCGAGGCCTCGAAGCTCTGGGGATTCAATGCCAGGCTGGGAGAAAGGAGGCAGGAGCCGGCAAGCCCAGGAGTGGTGTGACACAGCCCTCCTCGGATAGTCCCAGGCACAACCTAATCTGAATTAATGTCGGACCAAACCCAGAAGTTAAACATGCCCTGACTGGGTCTGAGCATCTGTATGCATTTGCTAGAAGATGCTCTGAAAAATGAAGGGGGTGGGCACGAGGGGGAAAGAGAGGTTGGGAAAAGAAAGGCAGGTGTAGCCTCCAGAAAAACAATTAAGAACATGGAGAACCAGCTTGGGCAACATAGCGAGACCCTGTCTCTACAAAATAAAAAATAAAAAAAAAAAATTAGACGGGCGTGGTGGTGCGCACCTGTAGTCCCAGCTGCTTGGGAGGCTGAGGCTGGAAGATCACTTGAGCCCAGGAGGTTGAGGCTGCAGTGAGCTATGATGGTGTCACTGCACTGCAGCCTGGGAGAAAACAGTGAGACCCCATCTCAAAAAATGAAAAGAAAAAGAACATGAACAACCAATGAGAGTTTAGAGCTAGCTAACTGGAGAGTTTTTATGTGGAACTGGAAAGAGAATACGGTTTTTATTTTGTTTGTTTCTCAGAAGAGTGCAGGATAGTCTTGACACTGGAGCTCTGGTGTTTACTCAGGTAGATTTATGGGACTACCCAGGAAGATGACTTATCCTAAGAGTTTATTTTGTCTCCTGTTTGTACATTCAGCCAAAAGCAGCAGCAGCCCAGCAACTCCTCAGTAAAATATCTAGAAATCGCTTACAAACGGGTCAGAGCCCTGAAGCGGCCATGCGGTCCGTCCTGCAGGGCTGTGGAGGAGCCCATCTGCCAAAGCAGCAGTGAAGAAGGAACTAGGAGTCCGACGTGAAGATCCACATGAAATGACCAGGCTGTCTGCAGAGTCCCCAGAGAGACAGAAATGTCTGCAGCCAATCTGCCCTGGGTGTGACTTTACAGCACGGTCAGTTCAGCTACAGACTGAGCTCATCCGAGAGGGGTACGTCTGCTCTGCAAGCCTGGGAGGTGGGAGAGAGTGGGAAGGCCCCATGGGCACCCCCTTCCTGTCGGGTCTGAGTCTCCCTGACCTGGGGGCTTGCCGCCTGTCGCCTGTCCTGGTGTGGGTGTGTCCCAACAGAGGCCATTCAGTATGGGAATCAGAGTGTGGCTGAATTCCCTTATTCTGATCCCAGACCACAAAGCACATTTGTACTGATTGGATTTTTCCTGTCTACTCTAGAGAAAATGCTGACTAGAGGACTCCTGTTTGGGGATACCTGAGAAACCCACAGACAGAGTGGTTAGGAGCCTGGGAGGAGGAGCCGGGCGGCCTGGGCTGAATGCAGCCTTGAAGGTTTACCAGCTGTGTGCCCCCGTGCAAACTGCCAGCCTCATTACTACACCCCTTCTCACTCTGTAGCCGTCAGTGGACTTGCTAGTGTTATCTACCTGTTTCCACCACCTCTCCATAGAGATGCAGCTGCTCTCATGCCCCTGAATTAGACTCTGAGCCTGCAGAGCGCAGAGCCAGCCCAGGACAGGGGGCACTCGCACAGGCACAGGAGGATGGAGCAGATGGGAGGCCGTGGACAGCCCACTGGCCTCATTCAGGCGATGGTCCTAAGAACCGAATCTTCCAATCCCAAAATTCTAGGCAGGTATCCAATACCTACTGTGTTTTTGTAGAAGAAGTACAGCACCATGTTGGCAAGTCGGGAGTAGCACCAATGCCCGTGAAGAATCAAGAGCCTCTCCAGGTATTGGAATTTCGGCACCGCAAAGTCGCTGGCCATCACTGCCTTCAAAGGGAGAAGGATTCCTGTTACTGGCGATGCCGACCCGGTGTAAAGCTTGTCTTCTCTTCTCAAAATGCAAGGTACACAACAGGCAAGGAAAATTCCCGTTCCGATCACAGTGGGAGCGTGGCTGGCCAGGGTCTCAATTGCTGTCATCTCCCTCAGCATCTCCTTCCATTACAAAAGAGGCAATCTCGCCCAACACGCTAGTTCAGGGATGTCACCTTATAGGATTCATTTAAGCTTTCAAATGTGTGTCATTAATGGGGTTTAAAATGTTTTCCTTTTCCTGCTGTTTTCTCAACAAATGAAAAAACACAGAGATGCATGGAGTTTATCTGCCTTTCTTCACCCCTGGACGTCATTTTCCTCTAAATCGGTCCATGATCACGACCCAAGGATGACCCCAAGCTGCTCCTGCCATATGTATCAGAGACAGACATGCCCTGTCCTGGGAGGTGCATTTTGGGCTGTTCTCCCCAGGAGCCTTGGTGATGGGCAAGGCCAGGCCCACGGCTCCACTGGCCTCCCACACACTCCCAACCCAGGACGCCGGGTGCAGGTGGTGGCTGTGTGCAGGAGGGAGTGGAGAAGACATTTCCTCCATGGACAGGCAGGACCCTGCCGTGGAAGATTCCCCTGCACATCATCAAGCAAGGTGCCTACGCGATGAAGCCAACTAGGCTGGAAAACGCCACCAAATGATACCTTTTGTCCCCAGAATAATTTGAAACCCACTCTACAATAAATGTCTTCAGGAAAAAAAAATCAAACAAAATGGCGGAAAAAGTTAGATTTCTCCTTACCATCAGGTTATTCTAAACAAAATGCCAATCTGCCTTTAACATCTAACTGATTTCCCTCTACTCAAATAATATGTAGAAAGCAGTAAATTATGCCTCAAGTGGTATGCTTGAAATGGAATAGTGTCATGATACACAAAACCTTAGAACATCAATTTTCTGAACCAAAAGTTAAGGATTTCACAGCAAATGTCCCTCTGCCTCTTCCTGTCAACACATAGGGGCTTAAAAGTCTTTTCGTGTTCTGTAATGCTTTACTCATTAACCCCACGATTCATTCTCTCAAAAATCGTCTCTTAGGACTCCACTATTGCCAGCCACAGACTTGGAGAAACAGATACCATTAGACACAGTCCCCGTCCTCCACAGAATCTGTCTGAAAAGTTCAGTCAAAAGGGACAAGTGTTAAAAAGAGGCTGATGGCCTGCAAGGCCAAACTCTAGGCTGCCTTTGAAGAAGAAACCCCCGCCCTTGAGAACCACAGTCAAACCCCTGCTGAGGTCGCCTGGCTTGCCAGCCTTCTGCAGCCCCTTCCTCCCCTAAATCCAGGCCTCAAATACAACGCTTGTCCTTCCGTCAGAGTGACCTTTCCAAAGCCTCTCAGCTTTTCTGGGAATTTCAGGAGAGCAGGATCGGAGATGTTGGGGTCATCTTGTATCCCTGGCTCCCAGCCAGCCTTGGCTTTAGAGGGTGCAGGAGCTCACAAAGATGAGCCCGAGCTCACGAAGACAGAGCTTCCTGGGAGCTGGGAGATCTCCTCTGCTCCTCCTGCCCCCTGCCTGGGACAACCTCCCCACCTTGGCTGAGCTGGGGAGCACCTACTCCTCCTGTCTGACTCTCCACGGCTCAGCTCTGACAGCTCCGGCATCAGCATCCCACAGCTCGTCTCTCAAAGGGCTCAGCAGGGACTGACTAAAATGCAAGCAACAGGGTCCCAGTGCTGGAAAACCCAAGTGCACAGGATGGTAAGGAAAGGTATCAAGCCTGGTCCCTATCTCTCCGAACACATCCCCAGGGAGGATGCGCAGCTTTACATATGTGCGGAAGTGCCCAGTAACCTCCTCCCCAGCAGCTACGCCTGTTCAAAGCTGCACCTCCGGGCACTTGCCCTGTGGCTCAGCTGTTCCCATCACCTCTCATGTACGCCCCAGGGCCTGGGCTGGTGTTCCCACCTTGAGGAGGGGAGCAGGCAGGGCAGCTCCGGCCCCTCCCCAGCCACCTGCTCAATATTCAAGTGTCTGATCCAGAAGATGTTTACTAGTAGAGTTTCCAAGCATATGAGGTCAATAGGCACTGCCCCCATCAGATTTTCAGTACAGGAAACCGTGAAAACAGAAGCAATGCCAAAAAAGTCAGAATGAATGAACTACAGTTGACCCTTGAACAACACTGGAGTTAGGGGCGCCCCCGAACAGTCAAAAATCCACATGTAATTTCTGACTCCCTCAAAACTTAATTACTAAGAGCCTACGGTTGATGGGAAGCCTTACTGATCACATAAACAGTTGATAAACACACACAATGGAATCTACATGTATTTCACATAATCACTACATACCTACCTTTTCCTTAATTTTTTTTTTCCTTAAAAAAAAAAGAAAGAGAGAGAGAGAGATTGGGTCTCACTGTATCGTCCAAGCTGGAGTGCAGTGGTGCAATCATAGTTCACTTCAGGCTCAACCTCACAGGCTCAAGTGGTCTTCCTGCCTCAGCCCCCTAAGTAGCTGGGACTACAAGCATGGGCCACCACGCCGAGGTTTTTGCATTGTTAGTAGAGATGGGGTTTCACCACATTGCCTCACTGGTCTCAAACTCCTGGCCTCAAGTGATCCTCCCACCTTGTCCTTCCAAAGTGCTGAAATTACAGGTGTGACCCACCACACCTGGCCCTCTTTAATTTTTTCGATATTTTTATGCTATGTAGTTCATCTGCAAGTTTTTTCAAATTGTCACAAATCTCCAAAAAATTTCCCAAATATTTATTGAAAAATGTCCCCATATAAGTGGACTCACACAGTTCAGACCTGTGTTGTTCAAGGGTCCCCTGTATTTTGTTCATTTATTTAGCAAATGTTTCTTGAGCTTCCCCTTGTGCAAGGTGCCACGCTGGGCACTGTGAAGACACAAAGGTGAGTCACACGTGAACACCATTTTCAGTTTTCTGGAGGAAGAAAAATGTGTGAGTAACATAATGCAGAGATTCCAGTCAGAGGACGGTGGGGGGAGTATGGCAAGTGTCAAGGACCAGCCATGATGGAACTACGGTGCATCTAGCTTAGGACCCTCCCTTTGAGGGCGGAACGTCAGCTAAAACTACTAATGAGCTCTGCACAGATCTGGCACGAAGTTCGTGCCCAACAGATAATTACTGATGGAACCACTGAATCAGCGAATGAATCAACCAGTGAGTAAGTGGTGTCTACATCTTGGTTTTCAGAACATTGGATAAATTGTTCCCTAAAATTTCCACCAATCCAAAAAAGTTGTGATTCATACTTAACCAAATGTTGGACACCGTTGTAATACTTAATCTAAAAGCAGCACATTTTTAGTGAAGTCGTTTGCTCAATGTCTGACTCCCAGACCGAGAGTGAACACAGTGGCAGAGGAAAGATGCAGAGGTGAACTTCCGTGTGAGTGAGGATGGCTACATTCCACCTGTACAGTGACGCCAGGCTCCACCTACAGCAAAGGCATTTTTTCAGATGGTATTGCTCAGTGTTCACGGACAGTAAAACGTGCCTGCTGGGACTGAGCCATCGAAAGCCAGACGGAAGGCGATGACTCACCTTGCCTCTCTCGGAACCACTTATTTCACAAAAATAGACTTGTGACATGGGAAGACATGCTTATTGCACACTGCTTCATAAACAGGAAGAGTGGTATTTCCCCAGACCTTCCACTATTGGCTCAGCAGCTGTACTGAGCATCAGCTGTATCGAGGGCAAACTCTTTAGCCTCGTTCAACAGAGCCCAGAGGAACGTGGGGACAGCCCACAGGGTGATAGGACAGGAGGCCAGTAGGGCCACTTGGTCCCACAGAATAGCCTGATTGGTCTGTACCTGCATACCCTCCTGGCCGGAGATTCCCACACCCACATCTGCCACCTGGATCATGCTGACATCATTGGCTCCGTCACCTAGAAACAGCAAAGGCAGGAAGAATTGTTTGATTCTAAAAACAGCACAGGATCAAATCAATGTGCTAGATTTCCTTGGGGGTCCCCACTGAACTCAGTCCTGTGAAAGGGTCCTGGGGAAGATGGGGGATAAAGGAGTAGAGCACCCACCCTGGGAGAATAGAGTTAAGCATTCAGAATGAGCCAGACACACCAGGAGATGTTTCAGAAAGCAGGCTAGAGCTGAGCCACCTGGGACGCGGTGCCCGCTCTGCCGTGTCACTCTTACGCCAGTAAAGCCCTCATCCTACTGCCTGGCACAAGGAAAGATGCCATCATCATCTTCATCATCATTAGTTACCGAACCACACCAGCCAAGCAGCCAAGGCTACTCCCAGGCACGCTTCCCCGGGCAGTTTCGAAACTAAAGGAAGGAGGTTAAATTGAGCCCAGCATATTGTGGAGCTCTTTTTTTTTTTTTTTTTTTTTTTTTTTTTTTTTTTTTTGCACATGGATTGCCACAGTATTAGCCATTGTGCTCACTTTGGGGCCCTCTAGGGGTGCAATAAAGGAGAACTTCTCGTCACGCTGTCAATTTTTTGATAGAAAATGTTTAGCAACACAGGTCATAGGTCAGAGCTCTGGACACCTTCGGGGAAAGGAGAGCAGAGACATAAAGTCGTTATCACTCTGTGACGGTCACCATTCTTGGAACTGGACAGCAGAACAGCCCAAATCAGGGCATACATCCCAAGTTGCACAAGTGAGAAAATGTGCAGATACACAAAGTTAGAGTGACTCATAGTGTGACTACAGGAGGTCTTTTCCTTGTGATTTTCCTGTTCTTTATAATGTTGAGACCAATATTAAGCGATCAGTCAATATATATCAAACTGGACTTCTCTGAAGTAATAGAAATCTGTACAGCTTTCCCCAGAATGTCCCATTTAAAATGAGATATGGTATGCAACAATACTCTATATTATAAACCACTGGGCACTAGGAGTAGGTCACATTGGTGCTTTAACGCATTCTTTCTTTCTTTTTTCTTTTGAGACAGGGTCTCACTCTGTCACCCAGGCTAGGTGGGAGTGCAGTGGCATGATCATGGCTCACTGCAGTCTCAACCTCCTGGGCTCAAGTGATCCACCCACTTCAGCCTCCTGAGTAGCTAGGACTCCAGGTGCGTGCCACCACACCCAGCCAGGTTTTGTGTTTTTAGTAGAGATGGGGTTTCGCCCACCATGTTACCCCAGCGGTTTTTTTTTTTTTTTTTCTGAGACAGGGTCTCTTGCTCTATTGTCCAGGCTGGAGTGTAGTGGTGTGATCACGGTCCACTGCAGCCTTAACCTTCTGGGCTCAGGTGAGTCTCCCACCTCAGCCTCTCAAGTAGCTAAGACTGCAGGTAGGTGCCACCACACCCAGCTATTTTTTTTTATTTTTTGTAGAGATGGGGTCTCACTGGTGTTGCCCAGGTTGGTCTCAAACTCCTGGGCTCAAGTGATCTTCCTGCCTTGGCCTCCCAAACTGTTGAGATTATGGGTGTGAGCCACATGCCCAGCCATGCGCTAATGTTCTTACAGTCATTGCTTTCCCTTTTTCTTTTGAGATTCCATTTTGTGTTTCCTTTTCTTTTTAATCAGCTAAGGCTTTCCTTCCACTTCTTAAAGGAATACCAGACCCCAGTGGCTACGTGGCTGAGCTGGGCACTGGCCAGGCCAGGAAAACATCATTCATGTCTTACTGTGGCCTTTCAGGGTTGACGTTGTCCTCACGCTCCCAGGGAGGACACTGACGCTCAGAGGAGGAGGCTGGGATGGGGGCGGTGCAGGTCAGCCTGAAGACCGTTTCCAGCTCCTCAGGGAAACCTGAGGGCCACCCCAGGCACATGAAGGCAAGGATGGCCTCAGGACAGGACGTGGCTGTTGGGCTCCCTGGGCCTTCTGAGCGCGTGCCCTGTGCCCACTCTCCTTAGCGGTTACCGGCCTCAGGGTGCGTAGGACAGGGTCCCCATGACGACCGTGTTCAGGCCAGTGCTCGCTCTCCTCACTCCCACCATGACCCAGGCTCAACAGCAGTCTCCTCTGGCCAGGTGAGGTGCCCACTGTGAACAGGCAGGTGGCAATCCCCATGTCAACAAGCAGTGGCTGTCACAGACCTTTTGCAGAAAATACTGCCAACACTGGCTGATGGATTGGTGAGGGTACTTTACTTCTGAGCCAATTCTCACCTAGGCTTCTATTTACAGGGAGATTCTATTTACAGTAGATTCTATTTACAGGGAGGTCCAGTTGTTGGCATGTGGGGATCACGGCCACTGCTTCCTTCCTGGCCCTCACCAGGAGGTGGTGCTGCTGAGCCCCCGAACCTGTGCTAGAGACTCTGCCTGCCCAGAAGTGGGCAGAGAGGATGGCCTGGAAGGAGGCGAGTGGCCACCATCCCATCCCTGGAGAGGAGCAGACAGGGCTCTCCAGGTCAACAGTGTCTGCCAGGAAAAACTACCATGAGAGACACAGTCCTTTAATGACTGGTGTTATTAAATAACTGGTGAGCAGCGATGCATATCTGAGGATGGACTTATTTACTCTGAAGCCTGTCCCAGAACCATCAGCACAGCTGACGGGAGGCAGTGGGAATTCTGGTCACCAAGCCTCTGGACCCTTAGGCGTTACAAAGCCTTGGACACCCAGGGGCTCATGGTGACCAGAAGCAGCTGCAAAGGGCCTTCCTTCTAAGTTGGCATGGGTAAGGCTGAGTGTGCAGTGCCTTCTGCTGTGGCCAGGACAGCCTGGGACAGGCAGGTCTCTAGTGTGCTGTCTCCAGAGAAACAAGGTAAGCGCCACTTGTTGCCGTAAAGCAGCACCCTTGTTGCCGTAAAGCAGCACCCTTGTTGCCGTAAAGCAGCACTGGATTACTGACCTTACAGCATGAACCTGTAACTCTGCTCCTCTCTTTTGTGGCTTTCCAATGTGAGCTTTACCTTCGGAAGATGCTGCCTGCTCTGTCGCGCTGGGTGTGATTTTACAGACAGAAGGAAAGGTGAGGAAGTGTTTGCCCATCTCGTGGTGCAGCACGAAGGGTAGAGGAAGTTGGGGTCTAGCCGGGAGGAGGCCGTCCGGCCAGCTGGGATACTTGCCTATGGCCAGGGTCATGGCCTTGAGCTTGCTCCGCACCAGCTTCACCACCATGCTCTTCTGCAGAGGCGTCGACCGGCAGCAGAGGACGGAGCGGCACTGCTTGGCAAGAAAGAGGAATTTGTCCTCCAGGTTTTTCTCGAGAGCGTAGGCCAGGCTTCTCCCATCGATCACGAGGCTGGGACTGCGGCCAGAGGCAGTGGACATGGAGGGTGGGCAGAGAGAGGAGAACCTCATGCTCACTTTGCCCTTGGTCTTCTCAGGGGCTCTCTGGAGGCCTCTGGACTGCACGTAGCGTAGGCACTGGTCTAGCAGGGCTGCACACGCCTCCTGAAAGGGACGTGAAAGGACAGCGCAGTTCCCTCAGAGTCATGCCACAAACATCCCTGCCCTGGCTCAACACCTCTGGAGCTGACGTCTGTCCCTGGGCTGCAGTACCTGCCTGCCCAGAGGCCACCCTCCGGAAATTCAGCCAGAGAGGATGACTTTCCCCATAGAAGAGACTGAACTGGTTTAGGTTTCTCTAGGATCTTACTTGATCGCTGGTGATACAGTGCAGAGGTTGGAATGGACCATCTTCACTTTGGGAGGCTGGACTGTATATTGCAAAATTGCTGGATAGTTAGGGCCCTCCATGTACTTCCTGATGGTTCTTGGAGGCCCTTACCTAACTCACCAAGGACCAACTGCAGGACACAGAGCTCTGCAAAAGGCTTTGTTATGATTAGCCCGTAAAGAAATGGAATTTTCAGTATTCTCCTTAAGTTCTCCAATTCAGCCAGGAAAAGGAAAAAAGCACAATTACGGAGGCTTTTAATAGGCAAACTTGATCTGGATTCCAGAAAGAGGAGGAAAACCTGTGGTGGTAGCAGCACTAGGGACCAGGGGCAGGAGCAGGAGGCACAGGAGGGTCCACGGTCTCCAGGGACAAACATGCTCCGGCGAGCCTGAGCAGCCCCCGATCCTCTGCAAACGGTGAGTCTGCTGACTCAGTGACCAGACACACCACGGAAATCCAGCTGCGTTCAACACACGCTTACTGAGGATCCTTTGTACTCAGAAAACGAAGCCAGACTAGAGAAAAGGAGACTGAAAAGACACAGTTACTGCCATAGGGGCAACAGAGAGTTGATGCACACACACTCATGACTGCAGCAAATCACCAGCCGGGATATGCAAAAGTGTGGAGATGGACAAGAGAGGGAGAGCTTTGCCTCCAAGGCGTGGGGTGGGATACGGCAGTTAACTGGGGAAGGCCTGCAGGAGAATGCAGGATGCCATCACAGGAAGTACATGAGCTCCCTGAACTTGCACAACAGTGGAGACTCCTCCTCCATCCCGAGCTCCCACTGACTGCAGCCGGCGTGCGGGCAGGACGCATGGGGTCACTACCGTGGAGCTCGGAGAGAGAGCAGCAGGCGAGGGACTGGGAGAGGAGACAAGTGTGCGAAGGACACTGACTGGGTGGTGGGTATGTCACTGTTACTCTGGTGGCCCCGGGCTTGGCCCAAGGCACCAGGGAACCTGGACGTGGGCCCCAGGGCAGGGACAGAGAGAGCTCCAGGAGACACCTTCTGGCTCTGGCTTGAGGAGTGAAAAGGAGGTTCTCAATGCTCTGAGAAGATGAGGAAGTCTGCAGTTTTATTTATTCTTTTTTCTCTCTTATTTTAAACCCAGTCCCAGGCAATTTTGCTACCGTGGCTGTGCAGGAATGGCAGTGGCAGAGCCGTCTGCTGCTGCAGACTCCAAGGGAGCTGGATCCTCCTTTCCATCACAGCCTGTGGTGCTCTGTCTTCTATTCTGCCCCTACTTGGTGCTGGACACAGGGGAAAGGCAGGAAATATGGGAAGAAGAGGGTGATGCACTCCACCTTTCCTGCCAGAAGACTGAAAAGGGGATTCCTGGGGAACCAGAAGGCACTGGAAAAATTGTAAAGGAGAAGCCTGGCTAACTGACCCCATAATGTTGTTTATGAATTCCTGGCCTCACCCATAACAAAGCCTTTGAGAGGCAAACTCTGCAACAGACTGCCACCCAAGTTCCAAGGTGACCTCTGGAGGGCAAAAATGCAAGACTAAGTCTTATAAACACATCTGCCTTTGAAACCAACACCCAGAGCTCACAGCCCAAACCCCACAGGGTTGATCACCTGCTTAAAAAAATCCACATTCTCCGTAGAAATTAAAAATGGCCAGTGTCATAACATAATATTCAGAATGCCCATGATACAATCCAAAACTTCTTAGCACACAAAACCAGGAAAATCTTAACTCTGTGGAAAAAGACAATCCACAGAAGCCAACGTCAAGATGACACAGATATTGACATTATCAACAAAGACTAAAACAGCCATTATCCAAATGTTCCAAGAAGTAAGATTGAATGTGCTGGAAATGAACAGAAAGTAAGTCTTGGCCAAAAAGAAGGAAGATATTTCGGAAAATCAAATAGAAATTTTAGACAGAAATAATTAACTGAAATAAAAAGCTCACTGGATTCTAAATCATCTATGTAGATACTCTGCCCTCAAGAAGAAAACTGTAACTCCACACTCTTAACTGTGAGCTGTGCACAGTGACTTTCTTCAGAAGAATTCAGTATGGAAGAGGCAAAGAGCACAGTGAATAAACCTGACAATCACAAGGTCAAGCCCAACAGTGGCATGGTGTTGATAGCATGTACCCTCGACAGGATATGATGAAAATGGCACTTGGTCTCTGTGGCTGTCCTCCCTAAAACCCTTAGCTCCACTTCAGTGATAAGAAAAACATCAGACAAATCCCAATATAGGGGCCTTCTACAAAATACCTGGCCAGCGCTCTTCAAAATGGTCAAAATGATTAAAAGTAAAGAAAGTTTCTGGAAGTGTCACCGCCAAGAAGAGTGTAAGGAGGCACAATGACTAAATAAATGTAATGTGGTGTTCTGGATGGGACCCCAGAACAGGAAAAGGACACTAGGTAAAAACCAAGGCAATGTATGGACTTTAGAAAGTAATAATGTATCAGCATTGCTTCTTGATGTGATAAATGTACTAGGCTAATGCGAGATGAGGAACAGAATAAATTACATATGGCAGATATGAGAAATAACTCTGTACTCTCCTCACAGTTTTTTTCTAAATCTGAAACAATTCTATATATAGACTTTATTTTTAAAAACTCTCTGGATGGGCTCAATGGCAGAATAAAGATGACCAAGGAAACAGCCAGTGAAGATCCGCTTCTACTTAATGAATAGCAAATATGTTTTCTCTTCCTTAAGATTTTCTTAACATTTTCTTTTCCCTAGCTTACTTTATTGTAAGAAGACAGCATATAATACATACAATATACAAAATAGGTGGTAATTGACTATTTATGTTATCAGTAAGGCTTCTGGTCAACAGTAGGCTATGAGTAGTTAAGTTCTGGGGGAGTCAAAAGTTATATGTGGATTTTTGACCACACAGAGGAACTGGTATCCCTAATCCCTATGCGTCCAAGGGAAAACTGTACCATAAACAGATGGAAAATAAAAATTTAAAAATACTATTTACAAAACCTCCAAAAACATTGTACAGATTGTCCCTGATTTACAATGATTCAACTTACAAATTTTCAACTTTTGGATGGGTTTATTGGGGGTATTAAATAAATTTTCAACTTATGACATTTTTGACCTATGATGGGTTGACTGGGACATAACCCTGTCATAAGTTGAGGAGCATTGGTGCTTGGGTATGTATCTAACAAAACATGTATGTGATGTGTATGCTGTAAACTATAAAATGCTGATAAAAGAAATAAAAGGAGACTTAAAAAATGTAGAGATATACCAACTGTACAGAATGGAAGATCAACATAATAAAAACATCAATGCTTCCCAAATTGGTTCATAAATTTAACAAAATTCAAATAAAAGTACCAGCAGGAATTTCTGTATGGGAAAATTAATTTAAAATTCATACATGAAGGCAAACAAGATGACTAGCCAAAACAATTTTGAAATGGAATAAAGTTGGAGGAATAACACTACCAATTTTTAAGACTTATAAAAAACTACAGTAATCAAACTACTACAATGAATCAATACACACGGTATTGGTGAAGGGACAGACAAACAAATCAATGGAACAGAACAGAAAGTCTAGAAACAGACCCACACAAATATAACAAATTGATTTTTGACAAAGACCCTTGCAACCAAAAAAAGACGCTTTCAACAAATGGTACTGGAGGAACTGGGCAGTCACATGTGGAAAGACGAAGTCTAAGCTAACCCTCACACCTTTCATGAAATGTGATCCAAAATGGACTGCATCTATAGACAAGATGTTAACGTGTAATGCTTTTAGAATAAAACATGGGAGAAAATATTCATAATTAGGCACATCTAAGACATGACACTACATGCATGATCCATACAATTAAAAAAAAAAAAAAGAGGAATCAGACCAGGCACAGTGGCTCAAGCCTGTAATCTCAGCCGAGGCAGGATGATCACTTGAGTTCAGGATTTCAACAACAGCCTGGGCAACATGGGGACACCCCCTCTTCCCATCTCTTAAAAAAATAAAAAAATTAGCCAGGTATGCTTGTGCCCGCCTGTGGTCCTAGCTACTCAGGATGCTGAGGCAGGAGGATCCCTTGAGCCCAGGAGATTGAAGCTGTAGTGAGTCACGATGGTGCCACTGCACTCCGGCCTGGGTAACAGAGTGAGACCTCATCTCCAAAAAAATAAAATAATAAAATAAAATTAAATCTAAAAAGAATAACAATTTATCAAAACTAAAAGCTTTTGTGAAAAACAATATTAAAAAATAAGACAGGGATGAAATATATGCAAATCACATAGCTGACAAAGGACTTGCATACAGAAAACACAAAGAATTCTCAAAACTGAACCTTAAGAAAACAACTCAATTAGAAAATGGAAAAATACTTGACTAGACAATTCATCTAAAAGGATATATGAATGGAAAATAAGCACATGAAAAGATGTTCAACTTCATTAGACACTAGTGAAATGCAAATTAAAACCATAACAAGATACCATTACACACCCATTAGAGGGGCTAGCAGAAGAAAATCAATGTCAATGTGCAGTGCTGGAAAAGATACTGAGCGAAATAGTACAGCACTTTGAAAAGCAGGCTGGTGTCTGCTGATGGTGCAGTTGTGGACCTAAGAGGGGCTGGGGGGACTCTTAAGTGTGGCCCCAGAGAGGCTGTGGTGGCCTTGGCCACACTGGGGAGGAGCAGATCAGCCACAACAAGACGGTTCCCTGCTCCATTCAAGAAGCCTGAAAGCCAGCGCAAGAAGTTTTGAGTGGGAACTCCTGTGAGGACTCAGAGCCCAGACCAGGGCAGTATATGAGGCAGCTATTCCCCACAGCCTTGGGGATTTAAACAGACAAATCCGACTGGATAACGAAGTCCTCAGTGCCTGCGATGGTCCTGAGGTGGTCAGTGCTAAATGGACCACTGTCCTGGCTCCACTGTAGAAGCACATGGGACCTCACGAGAAAGTTCTCTGATGACTTGGACAGTATGTCAGGAGAAAGCAGGCTGAACTTCGTATTAATAAAGTCCACATGTGCATTCCTTTGGTACTAAGAATTCCAGCAAACTTCACCTCTTCCAAGGCAATAACATGCACGTCCTAAACCTGAACGCAGAGGGTGAGGTCCTTCTCACAGCAGCTGCCAGGAATGAGAGTCTCTGCCAAGGGGACCACGATGAACATGGACCACCCCAGGGGAAGGAAGCAGAGCCACTTGAAACCCACCTACCTGGGACGTGGCGTTCAGGGTGATGACCTCCTCGTCGTGGTCCAGCAGTTTGCAGGCATACGCAATGTTGACGGCGGTTTCTTGTTTGTCACCAGTGAGAACCCAAATCTGCAGGCCCGCTTGACGCAATTTAGAAATAGTTTCAGGGACTCCGTCCTGCAGGCGGTCTTCAATCCCAGTGGCACCTGGTCAAATGCACAGCAGTGTGAGCGAACCCGCTTCTCATGTGCGCCCCCAATCCTGCTGGGGTGCAAATGGCATGCACCAGATACACCGAAGGCAGGCACTGGTACAGTCCCTGTTGCCTGGACCTTGCCTGGGGCTGGGCTGCCAGTTGCCTGCCATGCAGTGACAGGAAGTCCTTTGTGGGACCATTTCAGGACAGTGGTGGACACTTCTGACTGCTCTCTCGATGTGACTCAGTCCAGAGTGCGTAGGAGTAACTGTGAGTCACTGAGTATAATTATATGTACTTACACCAAAGTACCTCGACTTATCTCTAACTTGTAACTTTACAGATAACCTGAAAGCAAAGCGTATGGGAAGGTGTTGGGAATGACGATTATTTGGAAGAATAAAAATACAGCCTTAAAAATTGCCCATCCCATACAAAGCTTCTGGTGAATGAAATTCAGAATGTCCAGTCTCAACAATGCTTATTACTAGTCACTATAGAAACAGGCTTCACAGGCAAGCCCATTATGTCTTGAAACCAAGATTATCTTAAATATGCTTTTTCCACAAACATAAAGAAGTCGAGAGGCGGGTTTTGCCTTTTTGATCTCAGTATGTTGGGAAAAATCTACTATTGACTGCAGAAATGTGCTTAGGCCTGCCTTGGGTTTTGTTTTGGGTTTTTTTTTTTAATCTGTTTACATCTTGGTGAGATGGTTTCCGTCTTCCCCGCTCTGGAAGTAAGCTGCAGCCCCCAGGCCCCGGGTTCGAGCCCTGACTGAGGCTCCTTTACTGCTCGACACCATGCTGTGCCCTGTGCTGGGATGCTGCTATGGACTGAGCGTTTGTGTCCCCCAGATCCATAGGAGGAAGCACTAATCCCCAATGTGATAGTATTAGGATGTGGGGCCTGCAGGAGGTAATTAAGTTCAGATGAGGTCATGAGGATGGGGCTCCCACGATGGGATCAATGTCCTTATAAAAAGAGGCACTGGGGCTGGGTGCGGTGGCTCACGCCTGTCATCCCAGCACTTCTGGAGGCCGAGGGCGGTGGGTCACTTGAGGTCAGGAGTTCCAGAACAACTTGGTCAACGTGGTGAAACCCCCTCTCTACTAAAAATACAAAAATTAGCTGGGCGTGGTAGTGGGTGCCTGTAATCCCAGCTGCTTGGGAGGCTGAGGCAGAATTGCTTGAACCCAGGAGGTGGAGGTTGCAGTGAGCTGAGATCACGCCACTGTACTCCAGCCTGGGACACAGAGCAAGACTCTGTCTTAATCAATCAATCAATAAATCGGCATTGGAGAAGTGATTTCTCAATCTCCCCATCGTGTGAGGACGCCACAAGGAGGCAGCCGCCTGCAAACCAGGAGGAGATCCCTCACCAGACATTGCAAGCTGTCACGGCCTTGATCTTGGACTTTCGGCCTCCAAAACTGTGAGAAGTAAATGTCTGTGGCTTAAGCCCCCAGTCTGTGGTATTGTGTGACAGCAGCACAAATGAACTAAGCCGCCCTTACTCGTTCTTCTAGAATGACGGGATGGCAGGCATGGGGAGGGGAAGGCGGAACTGGCTCATCCTGAGGGTCACTTGCACTGTGACAGGTTTCTTCATGTCTGGGGAGGGCAGAGGGATGGTCTTGCCTTCCTCTGTGTGTTCGCAGTAATTCATTCATACTTAATGATAGTAATAGTGATTACAGAGTAAGCCTAATAATGGCTAACCTTGATGGATTACTGACAATTTGCCAGGATAACACTTCCACTACAGTGCTTGAAACATAACCCAGGCAGTTGCCCACTCTTCTGTAAATGGCAACTTCCGGCCGCAAGGATCTTGTGCGTCCCACCTTCGTATGCCAGCTGCCCGGCTAGAGTCCCTCAGTTAAACGTCTGCCAAGAAAGAAAGCAGGGAAGGCTTTGCCGGAAACTCCCATACGGAGGGTGTCTGTTGTTTCACAGGGAAAAGCTAACACCTTGAAAACAGAAATTCTTAGTTCAGGAGCTAATTGGTCAAACTCATGGGCCTCCCACTGGGTCACCCCACAACCCTCACCTTTATAAGGTGTGAGCCTGAGTCACGTGCAGACTAGCATTGAACTGAAAAACGGAGTTATGGTAAGGACCCCCACCTTGGCATGAAACACGGCAGAGGAAAGAGTGTCTGCAGGGAGCAGCCTTTCAAGATGATTTGGGGCACAGTGGCTTTCTTCAGCTTTCCAAGATACTTGTTCGTGATATAATTTATGTGACTCTGAGTAAATGCCACTGTCTTTATGACCTGACCCTTGGGAGGGCCTGGCATTTCTGAGTATCATAACACAGGAGTTGGTAGTGTGCAGAGCCCAGCGTCACTGTGCTTGGTGCCACACAGCTTTGAATGGGAGGGGAAAGGATTTCACCAACAAGGAAGTTTTAGACATTTAGAGAAACTAGCAAGGACGCCAGGGAAAATGAGCAAGACAGTGTCCTTTGAATTTAGGTTCCTGCCCAGAGCATTAAGAAAAAGAAAATTTCAAGAGCATGGAGAGCATGGAGATCTTTCTGCCAAAGATAGTTATGTATGGTTCTCTGATGCTATTTAAGATAAGCACCTGGGCCTGGTGCAGGGGTGCACACCTGTAATCCCAGCACTTAGGCAGGCTGAGGCAAGAGGATCGCATTGAACCAGGAGTTTGAGACAAGCCTGAGTGAGACCCCATCTCTACCAAAAAAATTAAAAATTCATCTGGGCCTGGTGGCCCACGCCTGTGGTCCCAGATAGTCAGGAGCCCGAGGCGGGAGGATCACTAGAGCCCAGAAATTTGAGCTCACGGTGTGCTGTGATCGCACCACTGCACTCCAGCCCAGGTGGCAGAGTGAGACTCTGTCTCAAAGCTAAAAAAAAAAAAAAAAAAAAAAAGAAAGCACCTTCATGGAAAGACTTAGAAAGGAGTATTTGGCTTTGGAATAGTAAATATATAAGTGGCTGGCTTCACTTTTCTCAATGAAGCTGAGGAGCTGGAACACAGTGTCCGCGTTTGAGCTGTGTGAACACTAAGGTGGTGGGTGGCTCTTGTACTCTCCGGCTCAGGCCTCATCATTTGAAACATAAACATACCAGGTAGCAGGAGATGGTAAGTGGTGAACAACCGGCCTGTGGGAGGGAGGCTGACTGACTGCATTTGCTCATTTCTGTGGTGTAAATACTCCCACCTCGGCTGACTTCAATCTACTAACATAGCATCAAAAGGCAACGTGAGATTCCTGAACATTTATGTGGGCTACTCCAAAATGCTTCAAAATTTATCCACGGGCTCTGCCAGCAGGCGTGAGCAGGCTCCAGTGCACGGCTGGCACCCATGTGGGCAACCCAGGAGTTCCATCACCAACACATGTCAGAGCCATCCTCATGTGCACTTGGAGGGAAGTGTCACCTAAGGATGACAGCGGGACGTGGTGGAATCAGGGTTTGGAGAAATGCTGATGGCCAGGATCCCTACTCCAATCAAAGGAAGCAGAACAGGGGATCAGAAAACTCTGATTTTAGATCTTCACACAGTTGCCCAAGTAAAAATTACAGAATCCAAGCAAGAAATCCCTGTGAAGAAGACCTAAGATGACTGGATCTCAAGTTCACTATGAGCCTCGGTGCAGCAGGGGCTGTTAATGACTTAGGATATGTTAACAGAGCTACAGCATCCGGGCCAAGAGAGGTGACAGATGCACCATCACCAGAGAGAGTCGGCAGAGGAGAGGCCAGCTGGGTGCAAACGGTGTGGAAGCACCAATAGGAGACTCATCACCGCACAACCGCTCAGAGCCAGGCCCTGTGCCTGCGCCACGCTCAGGGCCTCCCGTCATCCCTTCCTTTCACCCTCACGGGAGCCCGAAACACGGGGATTACCAGCCCCACAGAGCAGAACTTGGATGCAAAAAGGACTGAGCCACAGGCTGCCCAACCAGCCTGCACGACCAGCCTGCCTGGCCAACTTGCACAACCAGCTTGCAGGGGCAGAGCAGGGCTGGACAAATGAGTCAGGGCTCCTGGGCTCTTAGAGCAGGGAAGGTGGAGAAAGGGCAGGCTGGGACTCACAGCCATGTCCCCAAATAGTCAAGGTTTCATCATGCGGAAAAGGGAGGAGATTCTGTCTGCATGACTCCAGGGGGTGGAACCAGCACACACTGTGAAAAGGCACCGGAGGGTCAATATCCTTCCATTTGAGAAGTTAGTGCTGTCGGGGGGAAAAGCTGCTCCCTGGGGAAGGTGCCCCACAGTGAAGGGTTAAAAGCCAGGCTGGTCAGTGAGGCTGGGCGGACACGTCTGGGAGAACCAGCGGATGGCTCCTACCCCACAGGCCTGCACAATACTGTCTTCTGGGGAAGCCCAGTCAGTCCAGATGACAGCAGCCCTGTTTTAGTAAGCCAAAACTTCGGGGCCTAAAACAGGCACAGCCATTTCTCAGTGTTCCATTTAATTCACATCCAGGGCTGCCACTCGTGGTGCCATTGGGCTCCTGGATCCCAGGGCTTTCCGAGTAATGTGTGGCCTTCTATAAGATACTATGGGCAAATAATACATAAAATGTGTGCAGATATATGTTATGCCTAGTGTACATTACGCTATTAAATGCAAACCTTAACTATGTATTATGCTAGAAATGTAGATATAAATATATAGCTATCCCAACTCCTCTGCCCAGAAAAAGAGGGCAAGTGAACACCGCCTTTTTGTGTGAAGTGAAGATGAAATCCTCAGGGCTTTGTGTTCGAGAGGTACCACCTGACCCACAGCACCCGGGATGGAGGTGGGGGTGCAGCACCCTCAACACCAGCTCCTCGAGGACACACAGAGCATGTATACAGTGACTCAGCTAGTTTAATGAATGCTTTAATAAATAGGAAAATAAATATTTTAAGTATTAAGCAATAACATAAAAAATATCTTCATTTATCACTGATACTAGTTAGCATTTACTAAGTACCAAGATGAACACAGTAGGAAATGTGGACATATTTCAGAAAAAAATGAGCCCATGTTCTTTTCATCCACCTCGAATCCGTGAAACATTCCTAAGATGCAAAGTGTAGCAGTCTCTGGGTTCCAAAAGTTTCCCTGTTTCCCAAGGGAAAAATCCTTTGAACCCCCAACTGTCGGGAACCTCACTCCTTGTCTCTATTTTTGGTGGGAAAGCAGGTTAAGGGGAAGCATGGCAGCTGCTGTCTTGGGGTGCCTGGCGGGCAGCAGCTGTGCCTCACAGAAACGACACTGGGAGAAGATTCAGGCAAGCACCCTCCCGCCTCGGCTGCACCAGCGTCCGGCCAGGCAGCTCCCTAACCAAGGCCAGCCTGCGGAGCAGCTGCTGACAAGAGCTCTCACCCCTCCAGGGCTGCCCCTGCAAACTCCACACTGCTCTTAGGCATGCGGCTCGCAAGTTAATTACCTAACAGGTGCAGGTTCGTCTCCAGGCGAATGGCAGACTGGAAGAGGAGCTCCTCGCTGTTTTCCGGGGAGGATTCTGCTTCTAGGTGGCTTTGCAACCAGCAGGCATACTCTTCTTTACTCAGAACCTGTGGGAGATCCATTGCTGAGTGCTGCACCAGGTGCTGCTCACTGCGGGGCGCCCACCGGCACAGGCACCCTCGCGGGGCCGCCCCCACTCACCCTCTTGGCGATGCACAAGGTGCGCAGGCCTTCCGCCGCATACAGGTTGAGGTAATTCTGAGTTTTGCTCCGGATCTTTTTTTGATGCCTCCCTCTGGCGTCAACTAGGTTGGAGAATAAGCAGAAATATGGGTAAGACCTGGCATCTGCGGAACCATCTTCAGACACTCTGAGATTTACCCTGTGTCTGTTCGTTACTTGCGAATACAGCACAAGTTTTCATATAGAATTCAAAGCCAAAATGAGCTGTTACGTTTAAAAAAGAATCTCATCAATATGCAAATGTTTGGCTGTTTATTTTATTTTTTCATAGAGACAGGGTTTTGCCATGTTGCCCAGACTGGTCACGAGCTCCTGGGCTCAAGCCATCCGCACACTTCGGCCTCCCAAAGTGCCCAGGATACAGGTGTAAGCCACTGCGTCCGGCTGATGTTTGGCTGTTTCTAACAACCTTTGTTGAAATCAGCTCATGAAAATAAAAACTTCATCAAAAGCAATTTGGCATCCTTTTGCCCAGCCTATTAAATGGAGGCTCACGTTCTTCCTGTTAATGAAAAGTCTTACTTAATGGGAAGTGCACTTTCTATCCTCAGAACGGTAGGATCCTTACAAGTAGCACTGCCAGATATAACAAATGATGTCTAAATATGGCATAAGACATACTTTTACTTAAAAAATGATTTATCTGAAATTCAAGTTTAACTGGACATTCTATATATATACACATTGTTTGTGAAATCTGGCAACACTACTGACCAGTTATGAGGCCCCTGGCCCAGGAAGGCTTATCTGCTAATCGAAGTCTACTGCCTGACAAAGCAGACCTGGTAAGAGACGCTTTTACATGCCTGGCCATGCTGCATTCTCCATGGGGGTGATGGAGCCTTCAAGGGAGTGATCATTGGTTCTTGGAGGTGGAAGAATCTTACTCCTTTCTATATAAAGTCTAAGTACACATATAGAACATAAACAGATACACAGCATATCTATGTTATTAGAAGGCCATGAGGGGACAATCGAAAAAAAAGTCTGAAAAGGCTCTTTATGGAGTTGATAATGGGGAAGAAAAAAAGCTGCCCTGGGATCCTTTGCTTTAGGTATTTACATTTCCTGAAAGGATGATGCTCAAACTCATCTTTGTACTCCTGGTATGATGGTAACACTCTTAGAAGACGCAGATAACCTTTTCCCAGAATCAGATTGTTCTTCGAGCAAAGCCATGCCTATCTGAGGGGCTTTGGAAATGAAATACTCATGATAAAGCTGTCCCATTGTTCCGGGCAGAGGCGACATGTGGTGTGCACTGGGACATGTGGTGGTACTGGGTGTGACACTGAGATTAACCACACTTTCCAAAAACGAAACGAACTGAGCCCACAGAGGGGGGACGGGCCACTTGGGACCCTGGGTGCCCCAGACGAGGAGATGGCCCCACAGGCGTCTGCTTCTCAGGTAGACACTGGGGTGTTTCTGTGCAGGGCCATCTGCACAGGGCCTAGTGACAGGGAGCACCTGGCCCTGCCAGGCAGAAGCGGCTGAGCCCGTCGTCCCCTCTGCAGACATGGACACACACCTGTGCCCCTTCTGGCAAGATCTGCGCCTCGTTCTTGGGTGACTTTTCCCTTACACGTCTTGCTGCACCTACCACTGAGCAGTCACTGCAGAAAACCGAGGCTGGACTTTGGAGGGTGGGGCCCTTGTGGAGGCTGGGATCTGTCTACACTCTGATGGAGGGTAGGAGAGGATGGGAAGAACTCAAGCTCCAAGGAGACCATCACTGAGGAGCTGGGGGAACCTCCGAAGGAGAATGTACTGGGGAACGAGAGTGTGGATCCCCAGAGGCATTCAGTCAGACCCGCTCTTCTCCACCTGCTGGAGTGACGCTGGGGGTGGCTGATTTCAGGCTGGAGGCATGGCAATGTTCACACTGCATTTTTGGCGATGGTCATGCAATATCAGCCCCTTCTTTCTGATGTTCCACAGCCAGCCAGGTCCTGTGTGTCTCGTCTCCCTACGGCAACAGGAGGAATTCTGTGCCTGGAACTCAGCTCCGTGGGTGAGGAGTGACACCACCCACAGGAGTGGGACCAGTGCTGCCCGGCGCCCCCTGCTGGGTGGGGACAGAGCTCTGTGCCGCAGCCCCGAGGCCACATCTGGGTGGGGGTGGATGGGTCTAAGCACACAGCTCCAGGCACAGTCTGCAAAGATGACTCCGGTGCCCACCGGCCTCAGACACAGCAGGGCCGAGACAGCTGCGCCGGGCTGCACCTGATATCCCCACCAGGAGACAGCTGGTGAGCAGTGCTTGCAGCCCTGCAGAGGCCCTCAGAGGGATGAGGGTAGCCTCTCTTCGTGATTTTACCATGTGTTTTAATGTTGCTCCAAGTGATATTTCCATTTCTTCTAAGCTTTACAAGCGATATTTCCCCAACAAGGAGTTATCTGATTAAAATGGTAAACTAAGGTGCAGTCCCTGCTTGTACATGCATGTACTCGTCATAAAAAAAATACGTACTGATTACTGCATGGCAGCAACGTGTGAGGCCCACACTAGGCAGTGGGCTAAGGCCAACTCTCTGTCCTCGCTCTGGGAGATGGCAGAGTGGCTTGAGGTTTACGCCTTAAAGACCACACAAAGTAGCAATGCCACCAAACCACAAGCAAGTGAATCTTAACGGGAAGGAGCCAGAGACTTGGGAAGGTCCCGAGTGGATGCTGGACATCTACGTGACAGAGGGCTCTCAGCTAGGGGCTCGTGTGGGGACTTCCCATGAGAGGTAGGCACTGTGATTTCCTTTGTAGATGGGAAACGGAGGCACAGAAAGAGTGAGTGACTCGTCCAGGGTCATCCCAGCCAGTAAGTGTAGACCTGGGATTTGAACAGAGATCTGTGAGAATGGGTTGCGGTGGAGTCCCTGCTTGTTGCCTGACACCACACCTGCCAGGGCAGGTAAGCCGTGGCCGCGTCCTCCTGATGTAATACAGTCACGCCCACTACCTGCTCAGCCAACTCGGGCTTCTTCTGGTGAAAATGTTTTGAGCCCTCTAAAGAGGGCATCAGATTAAGTCCGGAGTGGGACAGCTCTGTGCCCTCCTCAGTTTGTCACCTACACACAGGTGATAAATTGATCTACGTAGGTGGTAAGTTGACCTGCACAGGCAGAGTGATCGCCAGGCACAGTGAGTCCTCTGTAATGAGTCTGCATCTGTCCACATCCCTCCACCACTCCCCCAGTAAAAGGCAAACGATCTGTGCATAAGGGTGGGTGGTTGCAGGTGGGTAACTTCAAGGGGACTCCAGGGCCATCCTGTAGTCATTCTCTTGGGAAACCGCTGGGATCTCTGAACTTCCTGAACCTTAACCTGCCCAATGTTGACACGTAGATCTTCCTTATCCGAACCTGACTTCGTGCACTGCTTGAAAATTCCCAGAGGAAGGCAGAGATCAACGCAAGCCCTTGATTAATTTTCCCCATCAATGTCATGGTTTTGATAAGGAGAGAGCTGTGACGATGTCATTACCTGGCCTTTCCATGATGCCATGGATTTCAGGTCCTTTTTCTTATCTGCGGTTACCTGGTTATGGGAAGCTCCCTTCCTGAGAGCCACAGCAAAGCCACACTGACGATGCCGGGCCTGAGAGGCTCCCCGGCCTGGGTAGGGGCTCCCCGACCCCGACTGTGAGGTCGATTCTGAGTCAGAGGAGAGCAGTGTGGATGGTCTTGTAACCGGCATCAAGGGCCTTCCCAACTTGCAGACGAACGAGGAAATCCCTGGCTCACTCAGGGGCCCGTGGAGGCCAGGCCACCACTGCTCCTTCTGCCATGGCCTCGGTGCCTGCCAGTGAACAGGGAGGGGAGCCCTGCCTCCTGATAAGCTCTATCCACCCTGGTAAGGTACCAAGAAGCAGGGGTAGAAGAGTGAGCAGGTCATGATGCTAAATTTATTCAATCGAAAGGCATCCAGTTTTCTGGGATATCCTTGGTGATTTTTTGGGGGGGACAGGGTGGATGTGAAATCTCGTCCTTCTATTATGGAATGATGGCTGATGGTATTAGCGACACGTCATGACAGCTGTTCTTTTTGTCTGTGTTCTGCTTTTGAGGTTTTCTACTCATGTAAAAAAACACGTTGCCAGCAAAGTACAAGCCTGGCAACTGCTGCAGCCTTCCTCGCACAGCTTACAGGGCTCCCTGCTCTACAGGCTGGGACAGGCCTCACCTGCCAGCGCCAGGCAGCCCCCACATGCCAGGGCCACTCCATGCCTTCCCCTTAGACATCACCCGTCATGCTGTGAAGTCTGAAGCCCAGGACCCCTTCAGTTGTCTTGAACCCAAGGTTGTGGAGTAAGACAGAGAGAGTTTTTTGCTATAGAATGAAATCACTCAGATAACTGCCCTGTTTATGTTTTTCTCTTGTGTGGATGTAAACAGGAATCCATTTTCCGAAGAAGCAGCTTCCTAGAACTCAAAATCTGTCCATGAATTGGATTCTTCGCCGACTCCAGGGCAGAGGCCCTGCAGCAGGAGAAAGGCGAAATCTCGCCCCGCAATGGCTGTCATCGCGGAAGGTCATCCAAACTCCTCTCAGAGACACATCTGCAGATTCAGCTCAGCTGCCTTTTGGAGGTCACAGCTCTGTGATGGGGACATGGATTTCCTGTATGAAGCTCTTCCTCCCATCCAATTCTCCATCATGAACGGTCCTGGGCTTCTGTGCCAGGGGTCCTGTCCTGGGGCACTGAGATGCTGGCAAGAAAGGCCAGTGGGAGGTGAAGTGCTCCCTAGCTCCAACTCGGAGCTCCAGAAGGGAGCATCTGGCTGATAGCGTTTCCCAGCAGCTGCTGCCCAGAGCTGCTTCCAGGGTGCAGAAAACAGGAAGCCTGTGGCAGGCAGTAGAGCCTCAGTGGGGCCCCTAGGCTGCTGCAGCATCCTCACCTCCACCCAGCTCAGTTCCCCGGAGCTGAGGCTGCACTTCTCCATCCCCTGAGCACAGAGGGAGAGGTGGGTGGCCAGGTTCGCTTTATGAGAGGCGCTTGACCCTTCCCCTCCCAAGTGCCAGAACAGAGGGCAGTGGGTGAGGCCGGCATCCCTCACTTCCTGGGCCCCCACCGTGGCTCCAGGCAGCCCACAAACCGTGGCCTGGATCTCTGAGCTGCACCAGGTCCACAGGGCAGGAAGAACTTTCCAGAGCTACTATCTAGATTCTCACCCTTCATCGTTCAAATTTAAAACCTGACACTCTCCAAGTATCCTCTGTCCCCCTAGTTCTTGGAGGTGGGGGTGTCCAGGCACGGAAGCCCCCTGAATACTTTCTAGTCCAAACCCTTCAAACAGGCACACAGTGATCTGAAGAAACCGTGCAATTCTTTGATGGGCACTGCTTTTGGAAAAGGATTAATGAAAATCACTTTACTCAAGAGAAGGAATTGGGTGGGGATATTTATCAGGACTTCCTCCCCGGAGCCAGGGTGCAGCTGGGCAGGGGTGGGGGTACCTGAAGAGCAGGGCTGCAGGAGATCCATGACCACTGAGTCGGCCCCCTTGGTGTAGACGTTGATCTCATTGGTAAGCGGGTGCCGGATCACCACTGACATCCTCTTGCGGATGGAGTCGAAACCCAGTGTGTGCAGGAGGTCGAAGGTGAGCCTGCCCAGGTGGGGCAGCTCCACAGACACTTGGTCGTGCAGACGCTCCACGAGCACGCAGTTGTAGGCTCTGGCCGCATACACTAGTGCCGCCTCATCTGGGCTCTCGGCCTCGTACCGCAGCTCACGCTCTGGCTCCTGCTCCTGGGCAAGCTCCGAGGCCCAGTCATCCGCCTGGCTGCTGTAGCCGTTGCTGGTGATGGCCGAAGTGGGCTGGCCCAGGCTCTCCAGCCTGAGAAGCATGCCGTCACTGGACGGGGTGGACAGGAAGCTGGAGCCCGACTTGTGGTTGGACTTGTTGGCGGCCAGGCTCCCGATGCTGCTGCAGCCTGAGGTCAGGCAGCTGGGTGTGAACCTCCGCAGGAAGTCCTCTATCGTCTTCACGGGGGACTTCAGCTCAAACCTCACCCTCACCTGCAAGACAAATGGTCAGAAGGCAGGTGAGGGAACTGCTATGTCCCCCAGAGGCCCCACCCTGATTCCCACAGGATGCTCCAGGCACTTGGAGGAACAATGGTGTTGACTTCCCCACGGGGTCTCAGAACACACATTTCCTATTTCCCAGATTTCAGGCATGCATTGAAATTGCAGGCAGAGACAGTATTCCTGCCTTGAGATCCTCCGTTGGCCTCTTCTACTTCTCTTAAGCAAAGGCTATGCAACATTCTTTCAGAACGTGATTGCTGAGGGCCCATCAGGGAGGCCCTGATGTATGCAGGGGAGTTGCAGCTGGTGGCATCTGCTGGCTTCGTTTGGGGCTGTCCCTGTACTACAGTGTCCCCTTGCTTTGCAAAAAACAGCTCAGAGGAGCAGGCTCACCACTGCCTGGCACAAAACTGGGCATTTTTTCCAATTAAAAAGCCATTTAACAAACCATCAGCTTATACTTCCTTTGAATTATGTCTATAAGAATTTAATATACAAATCACATTTCCAGTCCCCAAATAATCTTTCTAAGCACATTAAATACACTGACAAATTAAGGATCCCAAACATGGAAACAATATTTTAACCACCACAGTAAGAAACAAAATGAGTTACACACACACACACACACACACACACACACAAACTGTTAAAGTTTCAAAAAGCTCAATGACAGAGCAACAGAGCCATGTTTTTTTCTTGCTCTTTATTGAAAGAGCAAATGTCAAAACAACCAAAATATTGAATTAGCAATTCTTAAAACCGCAATTTTACCATTGCATCCTAAGTTCTGAATTACAGTAACAGCCTCCAGAAAAGTCAGGTGTTTGGTAAAGCAAGGCGCACAGAGCCAGATTTTGATGCAGGTGCTTTTCCTTTGGTCTTGCCATGACTGTAAATACGCTACATAGCCAGCTGGGAGACACAGGCGTCCACATGGCAATCCCTGCTAGCTCCAAATGTCCTCGAAGCTGGCGCTCACCAACCAATACATGGGAACAGAAATGCACCCAGAGACATGTTTACCTGCAGCCCGAGTGTGGGTGACTGATAGGCTGTTCCCTAGGTGGAACTCAAGTCGTGTAACCTTCAGCATAAGCCTCAATGATGCTGTGATTTAACATCTGTCAGGCAGGGTCTGACCCGAAAAGGGGCACTTCTGCAGGGATACACACCAGAAGGGTTTTTAATGCTGAGGGCAGAGCCCAGAGGCCAGATGGGAGATGCTGAGGCAGCCAGGAGATGAAATGTGGCTTCGGGAAGGAGCTCCAGCCCAGGGCTGCCAGCATAAGCCTCAAGCCTGCTGGTCTCTGAGTGGCAGGCCTGTCCATTGGTGTCACCGGGTCCAGGTACTGCCAGACACGCTGCCGCAGCAGAGAAAATACAGGCCACCTTGTTCACCCCACATCACCTGCTGAGGAACCTGCTCCAAGGGCTGACCCAGGAGTCTGGGAAGGGATCCTGGGAGAGTCGGGAGCTGGGAGGTCTATGACACACACCCACCCCATTCAAACATTCAAAGCTGCCTGGTTCCATATGCATATCGCTTCCGTGCCCCCCACACTGCCTAGCCCACCGCAGGGCTTTCTGGGGTGCACTGGGTGATAGAAGAGCCTTCACACATACAACCTTTCCTCTCTCGGGAGAAAACCTTAATGTCAGACTGAACCAAAACCAATTTGAGCATTGCTATATTTCTAGTATCCTAAGATACTAGCCTCTGATCGATTCTCGACTGCTTCTCGTTGAAGAACAATCTTCGATGCCCCCATAAATCCTCCCCATGGCCCCACGGCCCAGGCAGGCACCCCGGGCACAGGGAGGAGGCCGATGCGTCTCCGCCTGCAGCCCAGGCAGGCACCCCGGGCACAGGGAGGAGGCCGATGCGTCTCCGCCTGCAGCCCAGGCAGGCACCCCAGGCACAGGGAGGAGGCCGATGCGTCTCCGCCTGCATGGCTGGTAGAGTCAGGGTCCACGTGCAAGTTCCTCATCCCAGAAGCTGGGCCCCGGCCTGTCTTGTCCTCTCTCCTGTGTGGATCTGGGACCCTGAGGCTCAGAGAGGTTGTCCCGGGCAGCCTCCCTCCGGCCCTGCCCCAGGCCAGGCAGCGAAGGAAGGACCCAGGCAGGCAGGGCCTCCACATACCCACCTGCCTACCTGAGGCTGGCCTAGCTGGCTGCCCTGTGTCCCTCCCCTCCCAGGCTCAGAAGGCATCTCAGGTGGGCTGTCCCCTCCCACTTGGCCCCAACCAGCCCCTGCCCACCGCAGCCCGGGACCGACGCTGCAGAACCACAGCGCTGTGTTGCTCAGTATGAAGTGTCCGCTGCATCCGCCCTAGGTCAGGATGTGCTAAGAGCACTTGCTGCAGGAAAGGGCCGGGCGCTTGCCCTCAGGAGGACTGACAACCATGGCCCGCAGTGCAGAAGGTCAAGGTCAAGGTGAAGCTCAGGGACCCTCCAGAACTTGCCTTTGTTCGTGGCTGATCCGGGCACGTGACGACGACTGTGTTGCAGATGGTGAGTGCAATGAAGAAATCAAAGATGTCAGACAGCTCGGGCGAGAGGTGGGCCAGCGGATGCTCCTGGTGCCTCGCCACGGCTAGGCTCTTGTCACACTCGCTCACCTTCTCCAGCAGCTTCGGGTCAGGCGTGATGTCCTTCTCCTGGGGAGAAAGGGAGGCTGGCAGTGAGTCCCACCCAGTAGTCTGCCGAGGGTCTTGGGGCGTGACTATTTAAGGTGCTTTGATTTTATCATAAGCTGTAAACAGAACTTCATCTCTAATATACATATATGTCGTTTTATAATTGTAAATTACTTATGATTTTAATTGCACAAATATACATAACTTCTATCTACTTTGTGAAAAACATGCTTCAGCATTGCCCTCTAGTCTTTTCACTCTACATTTAAATTTTTCATAATCAAAATATTTTATGTACATATTGGTGGTTTCCATTATCTCCAAAGCATTATTAATTGTCTGAAGTTTTCCAGGCTTTTAAAAATCATTTAAAAACACAATTAAATGGACATGTCATCATTTATTTGACCATCTCTTTATCACTGGATACTTAAATTTCTTTCAGTTTTGCTGATGTAAATTACACATTGATAAACTTCCACATGTAGCAATCCTTGGCTGAATCGCGAAATTGCTAGACGAGAAAGTTTGAATACTTTAAATACTCTTGACTCATATTGAAAAATGCCGTCAGGAAACCTCGTTCCAATGCAGCCTCCCTCCTGCCAAGCGTGAGAGCCCCCATCCGAGGGGACAGCGTCCAAAACTCTAGATCACCCCTATTTAGATGGCAGCTTCTCCGTGGGTTTAGGAGCACATGAGAGAATGAGGCCACCACGGAGCGAGCAAGGGGGACTCTTCCCCTCCGCTGTGCTGGTGAAACATGTCGGAAGTGAACGCCTCTTTCAGAGGTCATTGCTCACTTCTGCGCCTCTCCCTGCTGGATGAGGGTGGTCCATTCATGTCTGGGCGGCTGACAAGGCCAGGCAGAAAGTATTTTATGGATTTGGGCTCGTCTAATTAAAACTCCCTCGAGAGGGGTTGGCTTTGCTTTTTAGCGGTTGTCATCTTGACCTGAGGTTTTTATTTGCTTCATTTGGCAGCACCGGCTTCCTCTTTGTCACCCTTTCTGGGTGAGTCGCCAGCAATCAACCAGCCTTAGAAGCTGTGGCAAAGGGTCCCCGTCAGTGTCTTGGAAAAGACAACGGTGGAGAGAAAGTGTTGGCCAGAAAAGCTTCTGCTGAGTAGAGCCAAGCCGCCCAGCGACAGTGTATTTGTAGGATTAAATACGGACACCTTCCACGAGCGGAGGGGATGGTGAAAATGGGGAAGGGACGTGGCAGCGCCCTAGCAGGAGGCCCCGTACACTCACCATGGGGCTGCTGAAGGCCGTGTGCTTGGACAGCATGCTGGCCCTCTTGGCCTCGGCCCGGCTGCCCGTGCGCCGGTGGGACTTGGTACTCTGGGTTCGGTGCACCACCCGGACACTCTGGTGGCTCCCGATGCTGCCGCGCTGGGACACCGAGCCCCCTCTGGGCACCACCTCCTCCTCCTCCGAGTCAGCCTCCTGGTACCTGGCCAGACGCTGCGCTGTGGGGAGAGGGCGCAGGGTGAGGCATTGTGGGGAAAGGCTGGGAGGACAGAACCCTTTCAGGGTGTTTTAGGTTCCACGAGGCTTCCGGCAGGGCAGCCCCAGAGGATTCACCACCCTTGATCTCTAATAGCAAGGGACAGAGAACATCTTCAGTTAGCTGCAACCTGGGGAGGTTGATATTCTCAACTGTTTCACAAATGAGAAGACTGACTTTCATCTCAGAGAACGTAAGGAGCTTTCTAAGGTCGCATGACTTAGGGGAAGGGGAACGGGTGACGTCCAGCTGGTTTGTTCAGGTAGAGCCCAGGTGTACATGGGGTAGGGTGGCAGGTGGCTGGAGGAGGGAGGCAGGACAGAGGGTGGCAGGCCTTCCAGTCATGCTGGAATGACCGTGCTCGCTTGGTGCTGAGCTCCTTGCCCATATGGAGGGTGGGCACCATCTGCCCCTGTCTGGATGAAATGCTGTGGCACAGGGGGCTCACTCTCCTAGACTGCACAGCTTGGACCCCTACAGCCAGCCAGCGTTTGGACTCAGCTTTGAAATTCCATCCAAGGGGATCTTGACTGTGATGTCGCTCAAAAGCCTGTAGAGGCCCCTGCTGAGCAAATTCCCCATGACCCCGTGAACGCAGGGCGAATCCCCTGCAGAGGTGGCTGCACCGCGGCTTCTTGCTAACCCATGGCTCTGAACCAGTCTTCTGGGTTTTGCCCAGTGAGGACAGCTTGTTTCACCGTGGATGAGCAAAAAGAGGACCATTCATGAGCTTTACTCATCAGAACAAGCGTTTCATCAGAACATCAAGCACAGGCACGGTGCTGAGTTAAAGCTGCAGGGGCCTGTCAAGAGGCCGGAGAAGGAGATGCCTGTGGAGTTGGCCAGCCGCGTGGACCAGGCCCCGTACCGCACATCTCTTAACAGGCCCTCTGTGAGAGCTGAGGAAAACGGGGGATAAAAAAGGGGAAGTCACCTGCCCACCGTCACGAGGCCGAGTACTTGCCAATGCCAGGATTCCAACTCAGGGAGATCCTCATTCCAGGAGCAGACGTCCTGCAGACATCTCACCAGCTCTTGGGTGGTATCAGCCCAGTGCACCGTAAGCAAGGACACACAAAACCTGGACACATGACTCTGTCCAGCATGAAGTGAGGGGCTGGGCTTCAGCCTCCAGGAAAACGGACTGGCCCGTCCCACCCTCCCGGAGCAGCGGTCCCGAACATCCGGAGCTCCATGGAGCCATCCTTCAGGGGCCCCTCCTTCCCTCGGAGACTGTGGGGGCCATGGCTGGTGTGTTGGTGTTCTGATTGGCAGTGGCCCCAGGGATGCCTTCCATGCCCTCAGGGAAGATGAGGCCCAGGAGCAGGTAATGTTCCCTCCTAGGCATGCACAGCCGGTCAGCTCCAGGTCATCAGGCCAAGCTGTCAGAGGGGGTACACCCAGGACTTCCACAGCTGGTTCTGGTCCGTGAGCAGAGCTTGGGGTTCAGAGTCCATCTGAACTCCTTTATGAGGAAGATTCGGAAAGGTCAGATCGTAAGATAACTGGCTGATGACGCTCCTTGCCTGGGTGCCCGTCAGCAGCTGATCCAGGCACTTCTCTAAAACACGCTGCTGAGACCCACGTGGTTTCATTCATCACCAGGAAGCCCCCCGTGTCTTGAGGCAAGGAAACCCTCTGGTTTTCTGGTAGCATTTGGCAATTGTCAGAATCTTTCTGTAATCTTAGTTGGGATCCTACCCCCGGAGCCTGAGCTTCCAACTTTATTATTATCTTTTAAATTTATTATTATTATTACTAACGGATAAATCAGCATTGTATACATTTACGGGCTGCAATGTGACGTTCTGATATATGCGTACAATGCGGCATGATTAAATCATGCGAATTAACAAATCTGTCACTTTACTCGCCTATCATGTTTTTATGGTGAGACAGTTAAAATTTACCCTCTCAGTCATTTTGAAATGTGTAATACATTCTTATTGCCTCGGGTCACCCGGCTGTGCAACAGATCTCAAAACCTATTCCTCGTGTCTGTCTGAAACGGGGTCTCGGCTTTAAGGGCTGCTGCAGAACCCACTGCCCGGATCTCTGATCCCCTCAGGACTCTGCTGAGTTCCGTTTTTGAGAAGAGCACACAATGCACTGTGCTGCACCAGGTTTAGCAACTACGGGAGGGGAAGGGGAGGAAGGAGGGAGAGGAGAGGAGGGTAGAAGAAGGGTAAAAAGGAGGGGGAGGCCAAAGGAGGCTGGTGGGAGGGAGGATGGGCGAGTGGATGGAGTACTGTCACCGATCATCTATTCTGGGTGGCAAATAAAACTTTAAACAAAGTGGGTAATTTCCTCTGCCTTCTGTTTACTATGACTGCTTCACTTCATGTTGAGGAAGATGGTGGCTATCATGATAATCCTTGGTTTTATAAAACTCACAAAAGTGTCAAGTATTTGACAGAGGCCTCCCACTAAATCCTTCTAAAGAGCAGCTTCCTAGTCACGCCCGCTTGCATTCCCTCTGCCCGGTTTTAATTTGCTGTTTCTGTAGCATGCACTCGGCTTCTGTCACAGGCAGGAAATGGACCCCAGGCTGCAGTGCAGGGTGCGCACTCCCAAGGCGCTGCAGCCCCAGGCACAGCCGTGGCGGGGACCCTGGTCCGCACCCTCTCCTGCCTGGGGCAGGGGTGCTGGCTGCAGTCACACCCTGGGTTTCGGAAGCTGGTGTCTCCCCAGAGGCACCAGGTTGGAAGGAGGCAGCCACAGATACGGAAGGGAGAGGTGGAGTGGGGACCGCTTCAATAATTGGGAGTGAGGCGATTCATCTTTCCAGTTCCCAGGAACACTGTTCCAGGGGAGAGAATGAAGCATGAATTAGCCGGTGCCCTTCTGAGGATTTTATGACCAATGGATGGGTGACAACAGAGATATCTCTTGGTCCCTTGGTGTGGCAGAGCAAGGGGGCCGGATGCCCTGGAAGGTGGCAGAGCAAGGGGGCCGGATGCCCTGGAAGGTGGCAGAGCAAGGGGGCCGGATGCCCTGGAAGGTGGCAGAGCAAGGGGGCCGGATGCCCTGGAAGGCAAGCCATGGAAGGTGCAGAGCAAGGGGGCCGGATGCCCTGGAAGGTGGCAGAGCAAGGGGGCCGGATGCCCTGGAAGGTGGCAGAGCAAGGGGGCCGGATGCCCTGGAAGGTGGCAGAGCAAGGGGGCCGGATGCCCTGGAAGGTGGCAGAGCAAGGGGGCCGGATGCCCTGGAAGGTGGCAGAGCAAGGGGGCCGGATGCCCTGGAAGGTGGCAGAGCAAGGGGGCCGGATGCCCTGGAAGGTGGCAGAGCAAGGGGGCCGGATGCCCTGGAAGGTGGCAGAGCAAGGGGCCGGATGCCCTGGAAGGTGGCAGAGCAAGGGGGCCGGATGCCCTGGAAGGTGGCAGAGCAAGGGGGCCGGATGCCCTGGAAGGTGGCAGAGCAAGGGGGCCGGATGCCCTGGAAGGTGGCAGAGCAAGGGGGCCGGATGCCCTGGAAGGTGGCAGAGCAAGGGCCGGATGCCCTGGAAGGTGGCAGAGCAAGGGGGCCGGATGCCCTGGAAGGTGGCAGAGCAAGGGGGCCGGATGCCCTGGAAGGTGGCAGAGCAAGGGGGCCGGATGCCCTGGAAGGTGGCAGAGCAAGGGGGCTGGATGCCCTGGAAGGTGGCAGAGCAAGGGGGCCGGATGCCTTGGAAGTGAGCTCCTCGCGGGTGGTTTGCCTGGTTGCTTGGCGGATGCCTGGCGCCCCAGACACTGCAGGAACAGGGCGGGCGGCCGTGCCAGTGCCTGCTCTATAAATAGCACCGGGCTTCAGGCACCTGAGCTGCTCTGACAGCCATGTCTTTATACTCCCTTGAAAATCAGTAATCCCTGAAGCCTGTGGGGTGTGTGTGAGAGTGTGTGTGTGTGTGTGTGTGTGTGTGTGTGTGTGTGTGTCTCCAAGCAGCTCTGGATAGAGCAGCTTTCTGGTTCAGCCCGGGTTGAGAGCCCCACACCTCCAGACTCACCATTTGCATCATGAGAATATTCTACACCAGACACGGTGCATCTTCGGAAAACCATCTTATTCTCTGTCAGAGTGCCAGTTTTATCTGAGAAAATGTACTGTATCTGCCCTAAGTCTTCCGTGATGTTCAAAGCTCGGCACTGCAGCTGCGAGTCTGTTTCTTCGTCATACAACTGTACGTCCTGGTTAATGAAGTACACTTGGCATGCTTTAACAATCTCAATGGAAACGTATAAGGAAATTGGAATCAAAACCTGGAAGAGACAAGGCACACAGGACGAATGACCGTGAGGACCGGGGAGCCGGGAAATTAGTCTATTTAAATAACAAATGACTACAACTGCAAGGAAGGAGGGACTATACTGTACCTTGAAGAGCTTAAATAGCCTGGTTTAGAGTCAGTATTGGAAAAGCATTAGAGTATTGACAAAGAGAATAAACTAGGACAGCTTATGGAGCAGCTGCAGAGCAGGGATCCACTATCGTGTCTGGAAGTATGGTGCCCATGGCTTGGATAGAAGCAAGCAAGTTGTGCTTGAGAGAGGCTAGGACAGGAAAGAGAGAAAAGAGAAAAAAAGTCATGGCACAGTCAGTCCTCATAAGCAAGGTCACCTCACACCACACTCCACGGCGGCATTCGACCCCCGGGCTTTCCCTGAGCTCCCATCTCCCAGGAGTACAACCCCAAGTTCGGGGACAGTGCAAACAGCACAGTCGTCCTTCAGATGCCGGTTCTGTGCTCTTCTTGTACAATGCAGAGGGAAGGGAACGAGGCTTTGAGAAAAATATTCAGTGATGCCTTCATAATTTAAGAACAATTCTCCTCAAAAATAATGTTTACTTACTCATTTATTTTGGTAGAGTAACAGTATTGAACTAATGTTTACAGACTCAGAATATCATCCACAGACTAACTGGGTTCTCCTGGGAACTGAAGTACGTTAATGAAACACCAACTGCAGTCCTAACTCAAGGCTAGAACAAAATTTGCATTTTAAAAAAAACTAATTTAGACAGTTAAATAAGACTGTTTCCTGTTGTATGAAGCACATATAAGCGACAGCACAGGTTCCCTCCTAGGCAAAGCCTGAGCCAATGTCCTCTGGTCACTCAGTTCCCAGGAAGGTTGGTGGTGAACTCACTGCCCCCTCGTCCTCTGGACTCTGGGACCCTCCCCACTCTTTCACAGACCTTTCTGGGCATAGATAGCCAGTCATTGACTGGGAGGCGTCAGGGAGGTGTGCAAATTAATAATAATAGTAAGAATAACAAGTGCAGACAAATGCAGTGTGGATAACCTCAACTAAATCCCAGAGCAGAAAAAGCACATTTATGGAAGGACTAGTGGGATCTGAAAGAAGTCTGGAGTTTTGTTCAAAGCAAAGGACTAGGCCAGGTGCAGTGGCTCACGCCTGTCATCCCAGCACTTTGGGAGACCGAGGTGGGTGGATCACTTGAGGTCAGGAGTTTGAGACCAGCATGGCCAACATGGTGAAACCCCATCTCTACTAAAAATACGAAAATTAGTCAGGTGTGTGGCATGCCCCTATAATCCCAGCTACTCTGGAGGCTGAGGCAAGAAAATTGCTTGAACCCACGAGGCAGATGCTGCAGTGAGCCAAGATCGCACCACTGCACTCCAGCCTGGCAACAAAGCGAGACTCTGTCTAAAAAAAAAAAAAAAAGAAAAAGAAACAAGAAAAAAACGAAGCAAAGGACTAAAGTTGGCTTCTTAGTTTTCACAATGTACCATGACAATGTAATATGTTCACATTAGGGAAAACTGGGTGAGGGATGTATGGAAACTCTCTGTAAAATTTATTTAGAAAACTAGATTTTATTTTGGAATAATTTTAAGATTTACAGAAAAGCTACAGTCTTTTCTGTAAATCTTAAAATTATTCCAAAATAAAATCTATTTTGTTTAAAAAAGTAACCGAAAGGAAAAACAACAAAATGAAAACAATGACCCAAACCAAACCCTCAAAGTACAAGAATCTTAAGAACAGAAAAGGAAAATTTTGACTTAAAAATCCCCCAAGGAAAGATCCCATAGACAATTTAGGCTGAAAAATAAAAGGCAGAATCCAGGCGGATATATTTGCTGTCCTCCCAGATGCAGAATTTATAGGAAATTCTGAACAGAGTATGATGATTTTAAATTCTCTTCATAAAAGTAAAGCAATTATTGTACAATACTGAGTATTGTTACCTGCAGGACTATTATCATTGTTAAAAATGAGTAAACTGCAGCTGTGACTGGGGATAAGGAGCTTCCATCAGATGTGGGGACATAAAATAATGACTTCTTCTCTTGATACCGCCATATCCACAGTCCATGTCCTGTAGTAAAGTTCAAAGAGAAATGTCATTCATCCAATGGAAAAATAAGAACATTGCTAGCGTATATTAAAGCAAAACTTTAATATTTGTTACCTGACGCAAGCACATTTGGTTTCCTTAGTCAGCTTTGCCATGTCAGAAAGCGAAAACACACAATGTTCTTGGCACCTTCAATCCAACTTCAGGAAGGAGGTGGGACTTGGTCTCTTCCTCACACTGAGAGTTTCCCATTGTTGGTGCTAAGTGGCACCACTTGTCCCAACACAAGCTACCCGTGTGTTGGCAGCTGACAGTGTGAGGCACCAAGACGGAATTTCTTAACACACATCTCACGAAACACCAGTCTCATGAAATGCGCAGCAAAAACAGTCAGTAGGCTCGGACACTGCCATTATTGCCCTTTCCTGAGATTCACAATTCACATATGGGAGGCTCTGGGAAGCCAACAGTAGTGCACATTGCCTAATCCACTGGACCCGCACCTCTCTGGTCACGGAACCTTTTTCAGGTCCCGTACATCTGTATCTCATGCCACTGGGCTAAGACCACCTCACACCCACTTGGTGTGGCCCCACATGGAACCTAACTGCTAGCCCCTTCTTACGATTCAAAGCCATTTTTTGATCTCTCTTTTCATGAAGTTCCCATTAGTAACATTTGTGCTTCTCCAGCTCTTAGCCTTAGTTCAGCACCAGCTTACTGATACTTATTCCCCTGGAATTACCACCACTGCTGTGATGAAAGCATTCTTCCACTAAGAAATCGTCAATTCCGAAAATAACGTTACAGTCAGCCCTCAGGATCTGTGCGTTCCATATCCATGGATTCAACCAACCGTGGACCAAAAATATTAGGAGAAAAAAATTCTGTCTGTGTGTATTCCCTAAACAACACAGTATAACCATTATTTACATGACACTGACATTGTGTTAGGCATTGTAAGTAACCTAGAGGTGACTGAAAGCAGGGGTCCCTAACCCCAGGCTGTGGACTGGTACTGGTCCACGGCCTGTTAGGAACTGAGCAGCACAGGTGGAGGTGAGTGGCAGGCGAGTTGCATTCCCCCCGAGCTCCGCCTCCTGTCAGATCAGCGGCAGTATTCGATTCTCACAGGAGCACCAATCCTGTTGTGAAATGTGCATGGGAGGGATCCAGGCTGCACGCTCCTGATGAGAAGCTAACTGGTGCCTGATGAGAAGCTAACTGGTGCCTGATAAGTGGAACAGTTTCATCCCTAAACCACATCCCCTGCTACCCCCACATCCGTGGAAATATTATCTTAGAAAAAAACCAGTCCCTGGTGCCAAAAAGGTTGGGGACTGCTGATTTAAAGTTCAGAGGAAGGTATAGGTAGGTTATATGCAAATACTCTTCCACTTCTTATCACGGACTTGAGCATCTGAAGATTTTGGTATGGTGGGGGAGTCCTGGAACCGACCCGCCATGGTTGCTGAGGGACAGCTATCCTCTGCCATGCCCATTCACCCTGGCGTTTCCATGTGGCCTGTGCTGACGCAGGCTGCCCTTGAGTTCAAGTCGGTGAAAACCGGGGTTTTAACTTTAGAGTGCTAGGCTTGCATGTTTGGGGGCAGCCCACCTGGAGCCCACTCATTTCTTTCTTTTCTTTTTTTTTTGAAACAGAGTCTCGCTCTGTCGCCCAGGCTGGAGTGCAGTGGTGCGATCTCGGCTCACTGCAACCTCCACCTCTCCTGCCTCAGCCTCCCGAGTAGCTGGGACTACAGGCACCTGCCACCTCGCCCGGCTTTTTTTTTTTTTTTTTGTATTTTTAGTAGAGATGGGGTTTCACCATGTTGGCCAGCTGGTCACCAACTCCTGACCTCCAGTGATCCTCCCACCTCGGCCTCCCAAAGTGCTGGGATTACAGGCGCGAGCCGCTGCGCCCAGCCCCCACTTATTTCCGATCTGTCTCGGAGACTTACCGACTGCTGAAAACAAGGACATGCAAACAAGGAGGAGGACACACCACAGCACGTCGCCGTTCATCTGCCTCTCCAGCTTGCTGCGCTTGTAGCGGGGCCCGCTGTTGTTCAGCAGAGCCTTGGTTTCATGTCCTGTTAGGGAGGACAAAGGACACGGCAAGTCAGAGCCCAGAGGTAAGGGACCAGCTGCACGGACGGCGTGGAGGGAATTCCACGCTGCCATTCACTGGTGCTTAGGTGAGAAGCTCAGTCCAAAAAGCAGGGTTTAAAATTAATCTTCCTTCCTGTTGAACAGGTCGGAAAATAAATAAAATAAAATGAAATTAATCTCATATGTATAATGATTGTGGAGAAAGAAATGGAAAGAAATACACCACCGTGCCAAGAAAGAAGGCTTTGGGTTGAGGTACTATTCAAAGAATTTTTGCTTTTGCTCCTTTCCGTTTTCTTAGTTTTCCAAATTTTCTACAATGGGGATATGTTACACTTTTTTTTTCTTCTTTTTTTGAGATGGAGTCTTGCCCTGTTGCCCAGGCTGGAGTGCAGTGGTGCAAACTCGGCTCACTGCAACCTCCCTCTCCCAGGTTCAAGAGACTCTCCTGCCTCAGCCTTCCTAGCAGCTGGGACCACAGGCGCAGGCCACCACACCCCGCTAATTTTTTATGTGATTTTAGCAGAGACGGGGTTTCACTCTATTGGCCAAGCTGGTCTCAAACTCCTGACCTCATGATCTGCCCGCCCGTCTCAGCCTCCCAACGTGCTGGGATTACAGACACGAGCCACCGCGCCCGGCCACGTGATGCTTAGGAAGCAGTGAGGGAGAAGGGCTGGAGCACACAGTGCCGCCTGGCGGCAGGTGGTGCCAGGTGCCCGAGCCTACCTGCGTAGATGACGATGCCGACGACGGCGTCCGTGTTCCTGAGGGTGCAGCCCCGCAGCAGCAGGTTTTCTTTATACAGCCCGGCTTTTTTCCCGTTGTCATGTATGCTGTGGAGGGGCGGTTGGCACGTGTCACGTGGTTGCAGGCATGTACCTCGTGTCTTGGGCGGCACTGCCTTGAGGAAGGAAGGCCCTGACACAATGAAAGCTTGGGGATGCCCGGATCTGGACTGGGAAGGGGACGGGGGCCCCGAGGGTGGGTGACTCGCCCTGTGGGTCTCTGCAGGAGCTGAGACGGGACTGCTGCTCACTAGTCACTGGGCATCCAGAAGCAGCCCCAGGGCCTGGTGTTTGTTTGTTTTGCAGATGCAATTGTTTTCACTCCAGGACTGACCACCACTAGGAGGGGCAAACTCCTAACCGGCCAAGGAAGGCCTTGCTACGTGGTCTCTGCACATCTCCTGCTCAACACAGGAAATGTTACTCCTAATCACAGCCTCAAGTTGTCATAAAAAAACAAACACCTTTCTACAAAAGGGGATGATATTGGTTTCATTTTTAACATCCTTTTCTCTTACAAGAAGTTATAAAATTATTAGAAATATTAATATATGTGGTCTGAAATGTGGTAAATTCCATGAGACAATTCTATAAATTCTGTTTTACTGCTATTTAGATTCGGAGGGACAGTCCAAGCTTAAGCTACTGGTTTTCAAATTTGTCCTCCTGGCCCACTCATGACCCAGGCTGGCTGGGCAGCCTCGGGCTAGGATCGCACTGGGACAGATGTGGCCCCAGGAGCCAGATGCTTGTGCATCTGGCTGTCACAGGGGGAGGCCTCATAACCGGAACTGTAGCCCAGGCCTGCTATAGTTTCAGGTTTCCAGAACAACAGCAGGGGCCCAGCCTAACCCACCCCAGGCAGGGCCACCAAGGGAGTGCCTTCCAAGAGGCCACCTTTTCACACCCACACCTGCTCCACACATCTTCCCCACACTCTCACAGCCCAAATGCTTCCTGTGTGTCTCTCAGCGGCTCACCAGGGACCCCTGCAGGGGTTTCCCTCCTGCCAACTCTTAGCCTCCTGACCAGGGAAATAAACCTATGTCCTCGTGGAGAAGAGAAGCTAAACAGTAAAGGCAAGGCTGAAATGCAAGCTGGGAGGATACATTTTCTACAAGTCAGTTATTTACCCACAGCAAGGGTTCTTCACCAGAGCAGACACAGGGGGCCGCACAAGGGCTATTCAGCCACCGCTGTGTCTACTGCTCCCTTGGCAATTCCAAGACGGAGTAAGGTTTTCCTTTAAAGAGAGATTCGAGACGGCAAACCACTTTGGCAGCCACAGCACTGACAGCCTGACAGGTATGAGACATCCTTAGGTACAAAACTCTGCTCCACAGTTCTGGAGTGAGGTCCCCACCACCACGTGTCTCCCATGGACTTCTCCAGCGACAGCCAGACAAAGACACCATTGCACTGGGACAGCAGAAAATAATAAATCGTCTCCAAGTTCAGGTTATGCTTATTAAGGACGAACGATAAACTTAATAGAAACAAGAAAAATGTTCTACGTTAAATGTTCTTAATTGTGACACTGACTTTTGAGCAACTACTGTGATTTCTGATGAGTCCAAGCCAGACGGAAACTCGGCACTTTATACAGGTGCACTGACCTACACAGGTCCATGCCAGAAGGACAAGGGAATGTGGGGGGCGGGAGCGCACTCCTGCGTGAACAGCCCCACATCAGAAAGGGGAGGCTGGAGAACAACATCACCATCAGGTGCCTGGTGCCTGGGCTGGAAGCTGCCTTGGGCTTGTGAGAGAGAGGGCGCCCGGCCGAGGGCAACACAGGCCCAGGACCACACAGGCACGAGGCTCAACTCCACAAAGATGCGCACAGGAACGTCATCCGTCAGCTCCTTTGTCACGGGCTGACCTGTGTCCCCTCAGAATTCAGCTGGTGAAACCCTAACGCCCAGGACTACAGAATATGGCTGTATTTGGAGACAGCGTCTTTAAAGAGATCATTAAGTTAAAATGAGGTCCTTTGGACAGGCATGGTGGCTCACACCTGTAATCCCAGTACTTTGGGAGGTTGAGGCAGGCGGATCACTTGAGGTCAGGAGTTTGAGACCAGCCTGGTCAACGTGGTGAAACCCCATTTCTACTGAAAATACAAAAATGAGCCAGACATGGTGGTGGGTACCTGTAACCCTAGCTACTCGGGAGGTCGAGGCAGGAGAATTGCTTGAACATAGGAGGCAGAGGTTGCAGTGAGCCGGGATCATGCCACTGCACTCCAGCCTGGGTGACAGAGCAAGACTCCGTCTCAAAAAGAAAAAAAAAATGAGGTCCTTAGTGTGGGCCCTACTCTATAGCACTAGGTCCTTCTAAGAAGAGCAGATCAGGCCACAGAGACACACAGAGGGAAGACCATGTGAAAACACAAGAAGGCATCTTGCCATTCATAAGCTAATGAGAAAGAGACTCAGAAAGCACCGGTCCTGCAGACACTTTGATCTCAGATTTCCCAGCCTCCAGAACCAGGAGACAACAAAAGTCTGTTGGTAAAGCCACCCAGTGTGTGGCACTGTTTCAGCGGCCCAAGCACTCACACACATCCTTTAACATTTAATTAAGCCACTTAGAAGGCCTCATGCGGTCCAAGTCCCCAGGTCTGCTGACTCATCAGACCCATGTCTTCCAAATCAAAACTGGATGAGAGAACCGTCTGGTGAGAACACCAGCCATCCACTGAACAGTGCCCCATGCAGGCTCCATGGGAAGTGGCCGTGTTCGCCTCGTACCTCCTGCTCCGTGTTTCTTCTCAGAAGATATGACGTTTTCCTGATCACACCTGCTGTTGGTAATGGGTCTCGTTCATCTGAGTCCCAGCACATTAAGAAAGGTGAGGGTCCGCAACCGGGGTGGGAATCTTCCCATTCCAACACAGCGGTGCAGGGCAACAGTGCTCGGTGTCTCCTCCACAGCCACAGGCAGCAGCATGCAAGCCCGGCACCAGGGACAGCAGTTTCCAAGCCAGTTCCTCCCCAGGTCACATCGCCTCCAGCAACCAGAGCCCCAGACCCTCCTCTCCGCGGTACCCAGGTGATGGCTCCACGTTGGCATGGTCACTGGCCGTCCGTGACGCCTCCCTCATTTTTTACATCCATTCAACCTCATCTCCACGTTAACCTTACTCTGGCTGTGTCTTTAACCCATGTCCCCTTCTCTCTATCTCCATGCAGCACTGCTGATTTAGGCGTCTGCATTTCTCTTGCTGGAGCCTACAACACACGCTTGCTGGCCTCAGCTCCACCGGCCTGGGTTCCTCACACAGGCACCGGAGCAATCTTCGAGTGTGTGCATGTGAGTGTCCCCTGCGGGGTTCCTCATTGCTCCAGCTTGACGCGGGGCCCAGCCCGCTCCACAGCCCCTGCTTGGCCCACAGAAGGGGTGGCTTCTGTGCTTTTCTGCCCCAGCCACCCCCACACAGCATGTTCTGTGGACTCTGTGCTGGCCTCTGCCTGAGGGAGCCCGGCCTTCTGGCCTGGGCTCAGGTTCTGCTGCCTTCAGGGCAGTCCTCCACGCCACACTCCCAGGCCCTCCAGCCAGGCCGGCTGGCAGTATTCCTTCCATGTCTCGGCTTCCAAATAGGAGCTGCTCATGTCCTATCCATTGCACACCCCAATGCCTACCTCCGAGCTTGGCAAACATTGAAGGCTGCCTGGCCCTTGGCTTTGAGCTGGGTCCATCCAGTGGGGATGACAGGAAGGACACTGGAGGAGTGCCTGAGAGCAAGAAAAGACAGGGAGTAGGCTGGGCGCGGTGGCTCACACCTGTAATCCCAGCACTTTGGGAGGCTGAGGTGGGAGGATTGCTTGAGGCCAGGAGTTAGAGACCAGCCTGGCCAACACGGTGAAATCCCATCTCTACTAAAAATACCAAAAAAAAAAAAAAAAAAAAAAAATAGCCAGGTATGGTGGTGCATGCCTTTAATCCCAGCTACTCGGGGAGGCTGAGGCAGGAGAATCACTTGAACCCGGGAGGTGAGGGTTGCAGGGAGTCAAGATTGCGCTACTGCCCTTCAGCCTGGACGACAGAGTGAAACTCTGTCTCAAAAAAAAAAAAAAAAAGAAAGAAAGAAAAGACAGGAAGTTTATTCCCTGCTCTCTCCTGGAGAGGCAACACTAGTGGCTGGCAGTGTCCCCTGACCAGGGCTACGAGTCTCCCCAGGCATCTCCCTCATCATGAGTCCCCCAGGGCCACTCTTGGCAACGACCTCATGGGGCCTCATGGCAATGACTGTGCAGCGGCTACTAATCCAGTGTCTGCTCTGTCCCGAATACGTCCCCTACACCCACCCACGCCTGCAGATTAAATACCTTAGCAGAGATGTGCCCTTAGCAAGCATCCTTCCTCATCTATATGAATCAGGGTGTTCAGTCTGCTTCCTAAGTGGATCCTGATTGACATAAGTTGGGAGGAAGGAATGACAGATAATTGCTTCCACTGGCAAATCCTGGGCAGAATTTTCTTTAAAATAATATGTTCAGATTTTTGTTTATCTAACAAAAGTAAGTATGGAAATTACCAAACTGTTTTGTGCTGATGTTCAATATTTTTAAGATATAAATATGTCAACTAAAGGTGGCAAGGTGGAATTAAAACATTCTGGTTTGAGTGAATCTAGCTGATGCAGTTTATTTAATGCTTGGTCACTGGCAGTAAGGGCATTTTGGATACAGCCTGCACAAGGCTCCCACCAGACACCAGGTAGGAGGGGGGCAGGGACCGTGACAGCTCTGTTGTTAGTGACAGCCCTGCTGCCTTTACTAACCATGGTCTCTGGAGGGTGTCACCCACCAGGGCAAAGAGTCTACCCCAAAATGCAGCTGTGCTCGTGCCAGCCCTGTGTGGTTGCAGGAGGCTCTGCAGCTCAGAACCCTGCTCTGTGGGGTAAGAATGGTCACCAAAGAAGAACAGGGCTGGCTATACTTGTATCTGACAAAATAGACTAAGTTGAAAACTGTCCTACAAGACAAAGAAGGGTCAATTATGCAGGAAGACATAACAATTATAAATACGTATGCATCCAATATCAAAGCACTCAAGAATCTAAGCAAACGTTGACAGGTCTGAAAAGAGAGCTAGCGAACCGGCTTTACAAAGTCAAATGGAATTTTACATCAGATGACCAGTTAACCAGCCAACCTCTTTGCTTTATTCTTTAGGGGAAAATGCAAATGTTTGATTGGTTTGTGGCTTCAGAGGTGACCGCGTGCCATAAAGTTGGCTGTGCATAATCAGCAGGGTCAGGCTGAGCCAGGTCTCCATTCCCAGGAGGCCTCTCTGGGCGAGGACACCTCAGGGCAGGGGCTGAGGAGTGAGTGCCGGGAACAGCTGGAGAAGGTGGGGAACGATGTTACTTCCAGATCCTAACTCTGAAGATTTCATTAGGGTTTAACTACATGAGGATCCTTCCAAAGAATGCAGCCTTAAAGGGCACTTGAATAATGAGGCTCCTAGCACTATTTTTCTGCCAGCTTGAGATATATTTCACAGACTATAATGTTCACTCATTTAAGTTCATCTAGTTCTGTGTTTTGATTTGATTCAGATAGGGTCACTCTATTTATTGTCCAGGCTGGAGTGCAGTGCTCTGATCATAGCTCACTGCAGCCTGGATCCCCTGGGTGTAAGCCATCCCCCCACCTCAGCCTCCTGAGTTTCTGTGATTACAGATGCGCACCACCACACCAGGCTAACTTATTTTGTGTGTGATTTTTATAGAGACAAGGTCTCACTACATTGTCCAGGCTGGTCTTAAACTCCTAACCTCAAGTGAACCTCCCATCTAGGCCTCCCAAAGGATTACAGGCCTAAGCCACTGCACAGCCTAGCTTTTTTTTCTGTTTGTTTTTGTATCATCAAGAGTTGTATAACTACCACCACCAGCTAATATGAGAACATTTTCTTCTTTCTTTTTTTTGAGACTGGGTCTTGCTCTGTCTCCCAGCATGGAGTACAATGGCACAATCATGGTTCACTGCAATCTCTGCCTCCCCCACTCAAGCGATCCTCCCACATCAGCCTCCCAGGTAGCTGGGACTACAGGAGTGCACTACCACACCCAACTAACGAGAACATGTTCATAACCCTAAAATAAACCCTAGACCCATGGGCAGTCCCTTCCCATTCCTATCTCACTCCACACCCCCAAACCCTGGCCACTGCCAATCCACTTCCTGTCTCTAAGATTTTCCTACTGCGAGCATTCCACACGCGACACTTTCTAATTCGTGTCGTACGTCACGTACATTCTTTCACTGGACTCTCACGTCAGCCTGGTATCAGGCAGCCGATGATACCTCCAGGATTCGGAGAAGGCTGGGGCGCAGGAAGACAGAATCACTTTCCTAAGGCCACCTCCCAGGGAAGAGGAAGAGCCTCTATTCAGGCTAGGGTCTTCTTGCTACAAACCCAAGCTCAGTTCTGTTCTCCAAGTGCAAACGGTTCATGTTTCAAGTTTGGAATGGCTGGTCCTCAAAGAGGCAAATCTGCCAGTATTTCTGGGCTGTGTGGTGTGAAGGTTACGGGGCAATTCCAGTGGGTGACGGGGTCAACATTTGGCTGCAGACGAATTTCAGCTTTTGCTGTGCAGAGTTCACTTCTGTTGAGTCATCCCCAGCCCTACCGCCTGCCACTGTGTGCTGGGCACAGGCAGCAAGGCTGGAGGTGCTGGCAAATCAGAAGACTCAAACTCACACTGAAAGCTCTCAGAAATGGGGCCACTTTCAGAAGCAGATCGTCCCCACACCTCCGTGTGTCTGTGGGGGGCGGTGGGGGAGACCACTGCCTGGGCCATTCAGCGACTGCAGGCATCAATGATCCATCCCCGCCTCCAAGTAGGACAGTGCCAGGAGGCGGCCCCTTGTACTGCAGGGGAGAGGGCTGAGCCCACAGGAGGTGGCTGAGGTGTGATAGCTGAACAGTGCTTGAGGGCAGTGGAACGCCGTGTGTGTCATGCCCCTGTCACAGGCTGGTTCTCCAGACCATCCCCAAGGGCCCTGGCAGGCCACTCAGCAGCTCCGTCCTGACACTGCCTATTCTCTTCCATGTTTTTCCCCCCACCACTGACCACACACACACACTTGGATTATCATGGAAATCTCCAAACAGACATGAAGGTTGCCTCTACTACTCCCCATCACGCGGCTTCAGCAAGTGCCAACACAGGGCCAGGCCTGTGCCCTGATCCACCTGTCTTTCTGTTTTGGAGCAGGAAGGGGCTGGCCTACCAGACACACTCTAGGTTATGCTTATTTGTTTTAATTGTCTTTCTTTCCCCCTAACTAGAATGAAATAAACACAAAGGCAGGAACTTCTGTTTATTCAGTTTACCACATTACATCCAGTGCCTTGAATGCGCCCAGCATGTAGCAGGTATCAATAAATACTTGTTCAGTGACTGAGTGGAAGCGTACATCCACGAAACTCCACCCGGCCTACTCCTGCTTCCACGTCACAGGGCATGTGTGGTCAGCGACGCCTCTGCTCACACCCTATCACCTTCCCAGTGCCTGCCAGCGGGAGGAAAAGCGGTACCTCCTCCTCACAGATGGTCGTGGCGAGCTTCTACTGACAGCAGGCTCTTACCCACCAGTTCCAAAAGCAGCCAAGAAGGCTCAGGTGCTGGGCCACATTCCCGAACAGCTACACCACGTGGCAAAGAGTATTAAATGCATACTTTATAACTGAGCGAGTGTATGCACCTGCCTATATAGTTATCAAACAGAAGGATGCGTGCGGGCAGACGCAGGATACTCACATGCAGCCGCGAAACCTACTCAGGTCGTTGTTTGGCTTCTCGCATTCGATCACGCTGGTGAACGTCAAAGGATTGAACTCGGAGACCTAAAATAACAGCACGTATACGTTAGAGAAATCCGGGCTCAGGCTGCTCCGTTCCAAAAGGCACTTGTTTTTCTGTCTTGCATCCGCGGCAGGCAAGTTTCACGGGGGAAGAACTCAGCCTATGAATCTGTGGAAAGCCGAGGCACGGCCTTCTCCACTGTATAATAAATAACAGTTAATCATTTGATAATGAGTGGCAGTTGGGGGACCGATGCTGGTTACTGGCTAGTAAGTGAGCAGACATGACTGCAGCTCTATTGCAAAATGAGGGAACAGGTGATCAAGCAAAGGAGGCCATCAATGAAGCAAAGGGATGAATGAATTTTTTAAGACACATGGCACTTGCCCATTTTTACAGACTTAGAGAAGCAAATTCCACCTGGAGAACAGGAGCTTATAATAAATTCTACTTTTTCAACACACACTACACGATCTTCATGGATCTTCGATGAAAAAGATTTACATAGCCAATGAGGGAGTCAACAATTTCTTTAGCATTCTGCTCAATTAAAAAAAAAAAAAAACCTGACAACTCACCACAAAAAAGTCTTTTGAATTTTTCCATTGATAGATAGAACACAGCCTGGCTCATACGAAAGACTTAGGAGTCGGGGGAAGGAGGAAGAAGGGAGAGAAATGGAGGGAATAAGCTTTCAGTATAAATGAGTACAATTAGTGGATTTCTTTTTTATTAGCTCTCTGGTCAGGCCTGTCATTCTACGTAATCTATCAAGTGTCATAACAAGGTAAAAAACTGAATTATCTTTGTTCACACACACAAAAAGTGAAGGTGGTTAGAAATCAAGAAATGGCATAAACACGCCTGACACCACCCCAGGTGACTATGGCTCTGCCACAACCACACATTTCCCTGCACAGAATAAAACTCAGTTCCTACTGTTTCCCAGTGCAAAGCGTACATTAAAAGGGGTGTGCGTTAGATAATCGTAGCTCGATTCAATAACTGAAACCGAAATGCTATTTTAAAAGGCACTTCTTGGAGTTTAATTAGCCATCAGCCTCTCTTCTCCTTGGACTGAAACGGCCTCTCGCTCTATTTCCAGAGCGAGGCTCTGTTTCAAGGAGTCTTGTGTTTATTTAAAGCCTGCGGATTATCTTGAAACCAGTGGATGGCTTTTTCCAGGGCAGACATTTACAGATACAAAGTACAGGATGGCCATGAAGGCAGTGAGTTCCAGAGAACACCAGGATTATTCTTGGCAGACAAGGAGGGTAGGACTTAAAAATATTCTGTCTCTGTTTATTATTCTTTCTCTCTAAGAAAAATGTCATGGACATGGCTCAGAAACAGCAGGACATTCTGTCTCTGGGACTTCATAGTTGTGTGTGTAATGTTCTACCAACAATCCCGTGCCCTGGGGAGTGTGCGCAGGGGCGGCCCCAGGCACAGGACGCCTGGCTCCCTCTGCTTCCTTCTGGAACTGGGGAGGATTTGGAGGAGTTTTAGAACTGGAGGGATCTCTAGAGACTGGCATGGGCTGACCTGGAGCCCCTCGTCCGCCACTAGAACTCATATGTTGAAGTTCTAACCCCACGTAGCTCAGAATGTGTCCTTATTTAGCAATGAAGTCTTTAAAGAGGTAACTAAATTAGAATGAGGTCATCAGGGTGAACCCTAATCCCACATGACTGGCGGCCTTACACAAAGAGAAAATCAGGACACAGAGACACACGTAGGGGAGATCATGCAAGGACACAGGGAGAAGCCAGAAAGAGAGGCCTCAAAAGAAACCACCCTGCTGACCCCTTACTCTCGAACATCCAGCTTCCAGACCTGCGAGAAATAAACCTCCGCTGCTCAAGCAGCCCGGTCTGCGGTGTTTCATTACAGCAGCCCCGGTAAACGAACACAGGGGCCAACTTTGAGTTTCTCATTTAAAAAGCATTTCATGTCCACAGCACACCTTCTGAATGAGGAAAATCCTGTTTACGGTGTTTATTTCTAACAACAGCCAATACAGCAACACACTCCTCACTTAGGAAATATATTGATTTATCCCTCCATGCACTCATGTCTACCCCTGCCTCATTCCAAATCAGCTTTGAGGTCATGCCCGAGTTATCCACCAGTCAGACTTGTCAATCAGCCCCCTGGAGCATGGACAGAGCTGGAGGCCCCAGATCCACCCTTCTGCTCTGAGCACACTAACTCCATTCTTCTTAAAACGTAGATATCGAGCTAGGGAGGAGGAAGCAATTGTGGAGATGGATGGTGGTGATGGCTGCACAACAGTGCAAATGAACTTAATGCCACTGAACTGTACACTCACAAATGATTACAATGGTAAATTCTATGTTATGCATATTTTGCCATGATAAACAATTTCATTTACGGCCATGCCACCCTGAATGCATCCAATCTTAACTGATCTCGGAAGCTAAGCAGGGTCAGTACTTGGATGGGAGACACAATTTAAAAATTTTTAAGTGGATATAAACAAACTCTGATAATTGACTGAGAAGAAATGAAATAATCATCAAGTTGAACATATTTCAGTACAAGTACATAAAGTCTCCGTCACCAGTAATTCCTAAGGGCACTGCCGTTCTCATCGTCGTCACCATCAACATCATTACGAGTTTTGGGAGGCTTGCCAAATGCCAGGCGCTGTGCTAAGTGCCCTTCAATTATCATGCAACCCTGCCAGAAAGTCGGTTTTCGTACCACCTTCAACTTAGAATCTTTAAGTATCATGCCCAAGGTCACAGTGGTCTTGGAGTGATGCACTGGAGCTTTCTTGGCCTCTGAGCCATCAGCTCAACCATCAATACCTGCAGAGAGAATCTGGCATTAACAGAAAAAGATTGTGGAAATAAGCCAGAAAATGTGTAACAGATTCTACAGAAATATCCCCCAAAATTTAAATTGCTTTTTATTTTTTATTTTTGAGAGAGTTTCACTCCTGTTGTCCAGGCTGGAGTGCAGAGGTGTGATCCTGGCTCACTGCAATCTCCGCCTTCTGGGTTCAAGTGATTCTCCTGCCTCAACCTCCCGAGTAGCTGGGATTACAGGCACCCACCATCACGCCTGGCTAGTTTTTGTATTTTTAGTAGAGACAGGGTTTTGCCACGTTGGCCAGGCTGGTCTCGAACTCCTGACCTCAGGTGATCCACCCGCCTTGGCCTCCCAAAGTGCTGGGATCACAGGTGTGAGCCACCACGCCCGGCCTTCATTGCTTTTTAAAGTTCTAAGTTTCCAAAATTTAAGTTTTAATGTTTTGAAAACATGCTTCAGTTCAACATACCTTAATCTGATCGTAGATACCCTCTTTCTATCTTCAGCAATGCCCGTGGATGTGGGCTTACCGGAGCCCACCCAAAAACAGAGTAAAAAATCAGGAGCCCGGGGACTTAGTGCTAGTTCTTCTGATTAATAAATGAGACTTTTGGCAAGAGAAGAGAGGGCATTTGGACTCGGATCTCTGGGGTCTCTGTTGCCCTATAAGTCCACAATTCTGTAGGATGCAGAGGTGGTTCCAATTAATCCCTGTGCTTGGGACGACGGACTCACTGTTGCGGAAACAGCATCACCTGCAAGGGTGCTGCCACACAAGGCAGCCTCCAGCTGAAGCACTGCGCTCTACAGCTCTGCCGCAGCACCCCAGCATCTCAGACGAAAGGAAGCGGACAATGCGAAGGGTTCGCCCGCTGCAGAGCAACAACATGTTCAAATAAATATCTCACTGGCAAGAAAGAAAGTGCTCACCGTTTCTGTTGCTGTCTTACAAATATTTCTGAAGCTTCTTTGGGCAAAGTGATTTGACCTTACTAGGTGGAAAGAAAGAGGCGGGACAGTGGTGCAACAGACAGCCCCCCAGCCCTGCCCCTGAACTTGCGTTTCTGCTAGAGACCACAGCAGAGGCGCTCCAGGGATGCCCAGAGCCCTCCGGCATGCTTCTGCTTCCTCCTGATGCCTGGGACCTCCTCCAGGTAGAACAGCTGCGTCCCCTCTTCAACCACATGGGGGAGGCGTGTGTCTAATTCAGCAGTGCCCAGATTGCTGCTTGAATGAATGGTCTGATTCACAGGGGAGACCGTATTACCAACCTTGTATTTCACATTTGCATTAAGTGAATTGCTACTAAGTAACTCAACAAAAGCAAATACAGATGTCCTCCATCTTGAAACAGAAGCCGTGATGTTGGAAAGGGCATTTATAGTCCATTAAAGAGGATACTGTTATTTTTTTTCTATCATAAAACAACTAAAGTAAAGAGGCTCATATTGCTTCAGCAATGGGGTGAGCACACAGCACAGGTGCACACTTGGGTCATCAGCAGGGACCCTGCCTAATGCTCCTCACCTCTGAGTGAGGCCACCTGTCTGGGTCTCTGGACGATGTGGGCAGAGAGAAGCCTGGTGAGATAATGCACAGAGCACAGAGGCGGCACCTGCCAGCCAGGCAGGGCCACCACCTGCACCAGCGAGAAGACATGGCGGACACGCACATTCCCGTCCTCTGCATCTCGATCCCGTTCTGAAAACGCCCTTTGCGTTCCCTGTCATGATACTCCTAGGTCACAAGGAGGTTGAGGTCCCCCTGGTTCACCTCCAGCCTTGACCTCACTCCAGGACATGGTCCTCGAAGGCTCTCAGTGGACAAACACGATACCTCTCACTGCCTACCCGGCTTTGGTCTCGCTGCCTGCTATGGGCCTATTTGTCCCTGGACTGAATGATCCCCGTCTGATCACAGAAGTATCCCACCTTAGCAAAGCCTTGGAGACAGCTGCTGCCCTACAGGACGCAATCCTCATCCCATGCAACAGCAAAGTTCTGCCGAGGGTCACAGCGCTGAACGCCTCGGCTGCCACCCCTGCCGGCACCCATTCCTGCACACAGGGAACCCTGAGGAAGCCCAAACCTTTCTGCATGGCTTCCTTTGTCTTCCCATCCTGCAGCATCAGGCGAAGAGCCCATCATTTAGCATTCAGGATGTTGTCCTTTCTGGAGAAGCCTTCCTGACAGCCCCCTGGTAG